GGCTCCCTGCTCAGTGGGGAGCCTGCTTCTCCCCCTGCTTGTGTTCTCTCTCTGTCTCTGTCAAATAAATAAATAAAATCTTTGAAAAGAAAGTTTACAGCTATTATTTCATAGAATTAGAAGGTACCTCATTTGCTCATGAGAAAATGAAGAGCCAACGAAGTCAGGTCACACTGCTAATTCATGCTGGGTCTTGGACTGAAAGCCTGGTCTTGCCAAATCTCTTTTCACTGATGGCACTGCCATTGAGGCCACCTTCATAGGTCCAGCGGATACGGTGACCACCTAGTAGGCGACCCAGGACTTTCGGGATGTCCCTGCTCCAACACAAAATCTCCTTTACTGCCTGAGATGCTACCCCTCTTTGGGTGGAATTCAGGAGGTCCTTTTGGAGATGAATTTGTAACCCTTTGTCCCTGAGAAATGGAAGCCTTTGACAATCCGCCCCCCCCCAAAAAAAAAGGAAAGAAGAGAGGAAAAAAAACTACTTATCTAGCCTTGTTTTCCTTTTTAACTATTGTGGGCCTGGTAAGTTCTTCCTGATGTCTAACCTAAAATGAAAATCTATCATGCTGGGCAGTTTAGTGGTGAAGGAAAAGGAACCCAGCTAGACATTCGGTGTGCCTGAACCCTGAGGGTTTCCGAGCGCTCACCAAGCAGGGGAAACCCCTGAGCCTTCATTCCCTACCCCCTTGTGCTGGCTTCACTGGGCACGGGAGAAGTAATTTAACTTACAACTTAAGCAAAGCCTGTGGGAGGCCCCTGAGCTCAGCTTGAAGAGAAAGGGGATATTTTTGCCTTCTAGAGGAAGAAAACTCATTTTCCCAATGCACCCCCCACCCCCTCCTCCTGTGCAGATGAGCTTAATTTTCTTCCCCTCTTAATGAAGATGGATCAAAGCCAAGCTATATATTCAAGGGGGAGCCAGGCAAGGGAGCTGAGTGAGGGGGGGAGGGGGCAGAAACAGAGCTTCTCTCATGGAGAGGAAGTAATTAATTTTAAGAGAGAGCAAAGATAGGGAAGCTCTTGGTAATAGAGTGTCGAACTCCAAATGCAGGTGGCTAAAAATTAAGTCAGAGCATGGAGAGTTTCTTTTGTTTGCTCATTCATTCACTCCTTGATTCAACAAATATTTATTAGGCACCCACTGTGCACAGGCAGAGACCTCAAGCTGGCATCAGGAGAGGGCCCAGATCTTCATAACCATAGCAGGGCTCGAGTAATTGGACTGGGACAGGGAGAGGTAGGATCTGGCAACCGAAGCCTCTTGTCACCATTTGCCGAAGTACCACGAAATGGTTGAATGTATCAACCGTTTGGATTTAGGATTCATTGCTTTGTTGACCCCGGCTGCATCCAACCAGCTTGTCCCATCACGGGTTAGGTAATAATGTTGTCCATTTGCTTTTCCATTCACTGATTGCACTGTTCTCTGACTGAGTTCTGACCTCAAGCCAAAAAATTAGATTAGCCCTTCTCTTTTCAGTGTCTGTTGTGATATAACAACGGACTATGATGACAACAGACTGCTTAATGCTGCAATAAGGAACCACGTTGATCAGAAAGGATTCTGTCATCCAAAGACAGGAATGGAATGATACAGAAAGCCGAGGGACTGAAATTTGACATCAAAAAAAGCACATCTCGGCAGCAGAAGGTAACAGTGGGTCTGGAGCCTCCCTTGCTAGAACCCTTTATTAGCAGTCAGGGCACTTAATGAGATTGATTGCAGAGTGAGCTGGCCTGGAGGCAGGGGGATGGCAGACATGACCTTCAGAAGGCACTTGCAGTCCCAGGACCCTAAGACATGGAGGGCATCAGGAAAAAGGGAGATCTGACCATCTTCGGCCCCCGGAAAGTTTGGGGAACTTCGCCGCGATGCAAACCTCCTTGCCCCTGAGCAGATCTGACAGTCGCCAGCTGGGATTTATCATATGGCATCTGGGAAGATTTTCAAAAGTAAACACATGGTGACCCCCTCTGAGCCTTGTGAGCCGCCCTCTTCCTCGTGAGCTTCAAGAGGACACTTTCGTTCAAGTTCATCCGAGCAAAGAAGCCAGGACCTTGCCACCAGCTCTGGCTCCATGACACCCACGCCCATGGGCTCCACGTGCCCCTCAGTTGGACCCCGGGCAGAGGGCCCGCCAGCTGGGGCTGTGTCTTAAGGGAGTGTGCTGGGGACGCCACACAGAAGCCCTGTTCACTGAGCCCCGGCTACACAGAAGTCTGGGCAGGCTAGGAGGCGTGGGGAAAGTTAATCTCAGCTTCTAGGCAGTGGCACGAGTCTGGAGCCTCATGGAACCCTTGGGCCCACACGATCAGAAGGGTCTCTGAGAAGCACGTGGATTGCAGCCCAGGGCCCTGCATGCCTGGCTGGGGGTCGGGAGGCAGGCAAGACTGCTGTCCTGCAGGTCGGGCTGGCTGAGTGTCTGCCGTGCAGATGGGAATGCAGCCCCAGACTGCTCCGCCCGCCAGGCTACTCTGTGTCCTCAGCTCCGAGAGGTCGGGCTACCTGGAGGTTGCACACCTGCTCCGCTCACGCCTGCCTCCCCGTGTCAGCATTTTCTCCCCGGGGATCTGAACCGGGACGATATCATCCCTGCTCCCTTATTCTGCCTCCGGCACTCAGACGGCAGCCTTGGGGCTGGATGCTAGGAAGCCACGGGCCCCCCTGGGGCACCTGGGCACCCCCTACCACCACCCGGGGAGAGCCCCTCCCCCTCCCCTAGCCCCGGAGCCAGCCGTGCCTGCCGCGTGCCCTGAGCTCGGCACCAGCCCCGGGGACTGGAGGACTTACTTCTCAGAGGGATGGTAAGAGCAGGGTGGCTGGCAGGTCCTCTGAGGCTGCCGAACAGGGAACAGAGCTGCCAAAAGGATGTTGAAGTTTCGGGCTGATCGCCGGGTCAGGTAGGGAGCTCTCCTATGGACTGCGAGCCGAGTTCAGTGAGCAGGCTGATTGGCAGCTCGTCAGGCGGGGGGCTCAGAGGGGGCGCCGTGCCAGCCCTGACCTGGAGAAGGAAGAGGAGTTAGGTCAACGGCTGCTGCATTGCAGTGCTTGTGAAGGGGAAGCTATTTTGAAGTTGGTAGTGCCGGGATGGGGAGAGGACGTCATTTGTAGGTGTTGCTGGGTAGGAGAGTCTGGGGCAGGGAAAAACTCGCTGTACCTTGAGATACCGGTGCCGGCTGACAGCAGGCTCTGTGTGTGCTTCTGTGTGTGTGTGTGTGTGTGTCTGTCTGTACCAGTGCTTGCAGGGAAGGTTCCAGCAGTTAGCACAGGGAACATGTAGAGCAGAAGGGGGGCTGGGGGAGGGGGCGTGGGAGGTGGGGAGCAGGCGCTCTGTGCCACTGGAAAAAAGCAGAGATGTTGGCACCTTGAGGACCTTATTTTCACAGACTGCTCACCCCCTGGCCCCAGATGGGGGAGAGACAGGGATGGGGGTGACTGGAAACAGCTACCCTTCCTTGCAAAGATCCCCCGCAATTAAGTTGAGGAGAGCATCCCTGTTGGAGGGAGGAGGGAATAAAGTTTGAGAAGTGGGGGAGCAGGTGAGCAACATGTTGGAGTTGCAACCCAGGCCTGGCAGACACTGGCCAGGTTTAGGGTCCTGGCCGGCAAGCCGGAGCTGCCAAACCCAGGTTTCCATAGACTGTGGCCACTGCCCCGCTAGGCTTCTATCTGCCACAGGCCTTTGGATTTGATCTGAACATGGCTGGTTTGGAAGCTGAAAAAACACCCTTTGATATTATCCTTAGCTTCAACAGACAGCCCAGGGCTTGGGATTCCTGGACTTTTGAAAGGGGGCAACAAAATGTTACTTCGCTCTTGGAGCTGAAGGGACCAAGCTAGGCTCTCTTTCCTCGGGTACCAGCTGATCTGCCCCTTGCCAAGCAACCCTGGCTGTTCATTTTAAGGATGCTCAAGGGGCCTGGTGTTAGGACCCCCAAGCTTGGTATGGCCTCAGCACACTCTGTCCAGGCGCCTGCTTCTTGGGGTGGACTGAGCCTGTCTCACAGTATCTCTCAAGAGGGATGGGTGAAGAGGACCTTAAAACTCATCCAGCCCCCCACTGGCTGAATGCTTGAAGTCTATAACATTTTTGCCAAGTGATCCCCTGCTTGCAGAATCCACCTCAAGTGGCTGCTATTTGTGGCTTCGACCCATGGCACCAGCGTCCCCCCGCCAAGTTCTATCTGCTACCTTCCTCCCCTGTCTCCCCACAGAGTCACCGGGAAGCTAGCCTGACATTCAGCCCAGCCAGAGGGCCATGGCAGGACTTCCCAAAGGAGCGTCCACGGCTCTGCTCCCCATCTGCCTCTGCACAGACCCTGCTTCCTGGCAGGCTGTCCTCCCCACAACCCACCCCACTCCCAGGCCACAGCAGTCCTTAATTAGATCTGACTGTTGAGCCGGCACTAACCTCAACGCCTGAAGCCCCTGACGCCTCAGCCACATCTCAGCCCCTTACACGCAGAAACCCTGGACTCCCGAGTGTAAGTGGGTCCCAGCCTAAGCTCAGGAATGGTTTCTGGATCTCTGGTTTCACTTAAAGAAAGAGATGGTGCATAAAACAGGAGAGGAAGGAGTCCAAGGTCACAAGAGAATTTTTTCAGCAGATAATGAGTGAGCAGTTTTTATGTGGAACACTCGCCGGAGCTGTTCCTGGGAGAGAACCTGCCACACACGAAGTCTTGGCCCCCACCCACGTACACACCCAGGGTCCCCACCGAAAGGCTTAAGTGGGGCTTATTTCCAGCCTCGGGGATCTCCATAAGTAGTTAGCACTGACTAGTAAAAGTTGTCTCCCCACCCCCCACCTGCCTGAACCTTTTTCTACTGCCCAGCCCTCCCTCCTGCCTCCCCAGACCCCACAGAGGACAGAGGGACCATCTTCTATGTGGTCACCCCGCCCCGTCACTGCCCAGAGCCCGCCCACCCTTTGGCTTGTGTCTCTGCCTTCTCCATCTTTATCACAACTTCTGTCTGTTCTTTGCCCCCACAGCCACAATGAACGACAGAACACGTTTCTACACCCAGTGACTGGCCAGGTCCCAGAAGAAAACAACAAATTTAACTTGAAAACGTACGTCTGCCCCCCCCCCCCCGCCGCTGGCTGCTTGGCCTTTCCACCCCCCTCACCCTCCCACCCCCACACTTTGCAGCTGAGAAGGGTAAGGGAGGGTGTGGAGAGCAGAGGGACGTAGGGTCTCTAACCCCAGTCCTGAGGAATGGAAGCTTCTGACGGCCCTTGGTCTGGCTTGACGCCCTCACCCACTTTTCCCAGCATCTCCAAGATCTCAGGCTGGTGCCTCCCACAGGTTGAGCTGGAGGAGAGAGACAGGTCTGAGGTGGGCCTATCCCCCAGGGGCCTTTGAGGGAAGTGCTGAGGGAAGCTGATAGAGCCCTGAGAGCCAAATGCAAATTCCTCTCGCTGTGGATCTTGGCTCAGTGCAAGAAAGAAAGGGGGAAAAAAAGATAATTAAATGACTCCCATAGTCCACTGAGCCATTGTGTCTTCTCAATTAGAAGGAAAAGGAGTTCCAGAGTCCTAAGGTCTAGGGTTTTTACATAAATTTACAGGAAAGAAAGAGGAGACTGTCCAAGATTACTGGCATGTGGTCTCAGAAGAGCAGAGGGAGCAGCTGAAGTGATCTCAGTGGGTGGCAGGGTGGGGAATACGGATGGGGCTTTTCCATTCTTCTTGGGTTTTGACTAGTCTCTTTCTTCTCTTTTGGTCAACCTGAAATCAGATCGGCCTTGGACATGTCCAATAAAGCAGGTGGAAAACGCCCGGCTATCACCAACAGTGACGTATCCAACCACAACATGGTGTCCGAGGTCCCCCCAGAGCGGCCCAGCGTCCGGGTAAGTCTAGCCCCCAAGGCCAGCTGTCAGGCGGGAATCCTAGGAAACATATGAGCCTGTCCAGCTGTCTTCACAGGCTCTACAGAGCAGGCGAGGTGAGGCAAGAGGAGTGGAGAGTGGGAAGGGAAGAGGGGTCAGACCAGAACCTTGTAGAAGACTGATCTCTAGACCAGGGCTTCTCAACCTCGGCACTATTAGCATTTGGGGCCAGATAGTTCTTTGTGACGTGGGACTGACTGTCCTTTCACTGTAGGATGTTGAGCGGTAATCCTCTGCCTTTACCCGTTAGGTGCCAGTAGCACCCGCCCTGTGACAACCAGTGTCTCTAAACATTGTTCAATGTCCCCTGTGGGGCAAAACTGCCCCCTCCCCGCCCATGGAGAACGACTGATCTAGGGGGACGGCAAAAGAGGAATAATTCATAAGGGATATGGCAATCGAGAGCTCAGAAAGGAAGGAGCACCTCAGGAGGAAGAAGTAATCCAGAGAAGAATGTGGCATAGAGGTCGAGTAGGATAAGGGCTGAATGTGTCCCTGGGTTCAGCACTGGAGACCCTGACCAGTGGTGGGCTGAGGGCAGAAGGCAAGCCGGAGAGGGCTAAAGAGGAGATGGGCGGGGAGACAGACGATGACGAGTCGGGACTAGTCTTCGAAGAAACTAGACAGTAAGTGGTGGTATAGTCATACAATGGAGTGCTCTCCCAAAATTAAACTGGACTAGAGCTATATGTATTAACAAGGATAAATCTTGAATATGTGATGTTGAGTAAGAAACAAGTTGCCGAATATGAAAGATGTGATATCATGTATGTCAAACGGCCTACATGAAAGCAATACGACATATGTACAGGTAAATTTGCGGTACGACCATGTAACCATGGACAGGCAGACTAGTTCTGGGTCAGCGATTGCCTCTAGGAAGGAAGAAATGAGATTGAAGAGTGGCTCAAGGGGAGTTTCAGCTCTATTTGTCATGTTTTATCAGAGGAAAAAACCCAGCACATGGTGGTGATTTATTCTCTACTTTTCTGAAATATTTGTAATATTGAAAAATATATATTTGTAAAGAAACTTGGCTGTGAGGGGGAATGTGGGACAGGGGACCGAAGCTAGACAATATACAAGATGGCGGGAGGTCTTCTTGGTCCATTTCATTTTGCCTCAAGATGTGCAAGCGGGAGGGAAATGGCCCAGTAGATAGGTTCAGGGGGAAGGGGACAGCTGTGAGTCTCATTTCCATGGAGACAGGAGAAGTCAGATGCAGAGGTGCTGTTAGCCTGCATAGGGAAGGGGCACTCCTCCTGAGCTGCAGAAAAAAAGGTATGTGAAGCTTGGAGGTGCGGGTCTAGGAGGTTAAAGACATTGCCATCTGATATCCTCAACTTCTACAGGGAAGTAGGAGGTAGGGTTTTCTGCAGAGAGGAGTGGGATGGCTAGAGAGGCATTGGGGCTTGAGAATATGCCCAGGGTTTGGAGAACAGGACCAGAGATCAACAAGGGGCGTGTGAAATATTGCGTGATAATGTCGAAGGGTCATCTGAGGTCATAGACTTGACTCTGAGTGGCTCCAGTCCACAGATGCATGTGGTTTGCCTCCAGCACCGCTCCTAGACTGGCTGGGAAAGCAGGGAAGGTAGATGGTTGGATTAGCCTAAGGTGGAGCTAATGGCAGGGGGAAGCCGTGGCAGAAAGCTAAGGGGGCGAGGCATGGAGGGGTAAGCTGTGGGAGCAGCTTCTAGCCTGCAGGTGAAGCTGTGGCAGATGACCGACCGAGGAGGAAGGGAAGGATTTGGGGAGTTGCTTATTCTTCGGGTGGTGGGTGACTTCCACAGGTGCCTCATCTCAGCCTTTGTATGTGGATTTTTACTAGTAAAGTTTAGAAAATAATTGTATTCCCCAGTTTGGGGTGTGCTTTATAATAAAGCCCGATTTCTTCTTTCCTTCCTTCTGCAAGTATGTACTAAGTGCTTATTGTAGACAGATAACTTGCTGGGCTCTGGTGATGAACAGACCAACGAGACTCAACTTCCTCCCTACAAAGAGCTCAGAGCCTGGAGAAGGAGCTGGAAGGCCAACTGCCCCATTGCAGTGTGACAAACTTTAGACCGCACAAATGGACAGAGAAGAGGGACAGCTCACTGCACCAGGGGGTCCGGGAGATTTTGTGGAGTTGGGGGCCCTGCCCTGGGCTTAAAGGATGAGTTGGGATTTGTCAGGGGACAAGGGAGATGGGGCTCCCCACATCTCCTATGGGAGAGCAACGTGAGCAAAGGCAGGGGCATGGCAGAGGACCACCAGGAGTCTGGTGAGGGACCTGTCCGGTAGAGGGGCATGGGCCCAGCAAACCTTACAGACCTGTCCTTGTGTGCCGTGCTAAGGAACTGAATTCCCTTCTAAGTGATGAGAGGTAGTAAGAAATGTTAAGAGAGCATCGTGATGGCACTGTGTTTTAGAAAGGTAACCTTACTTCATGGTAGAGGGTGCCCAGCAAGAGGATTTGAGGGCCTGAGAGGAAAGAACAGATCCGAGAACCATTAGGAACATAGACCCATCTGCCCTGGGCAAATGTCGTATAAGGAGCGGAGGAAGGAGGGAACCGTGTGAGGCAGTTCAGAGTTCAGGTCTGGGCAACCGGGTGGATTGGAGTACCATGCACCAGGTGAGAAATACAGAGCATCGGGCTTGGTTAGAAGGAGGATGAGTCTGGCTTTGCACTTATTTAGCCCTGGTTGGACAACCAGTTACAAAATGGGCTGAGGCTAGGAGACAGCTCTTAGATATGGATTAGAGAGTTTTCAGAGTATTGCTGGTAGCCGAGGCAACGGGTATAGATGAGCTACACAATGTAGAACAAGAAAAACAAGAATTTGAAGTCTGGTTGAGGTCCACCAAGAGAGTAAAGGTGGAGATTGAGAAGGAGCAGCCACAGATGGAGGAAAGAAGAGTTTCCAAAAGAAGAGTTTCCTAAAGAAGAGTTTCAGGAAGGACAGAAATGTCAATGTTATCCAGTGTATTAAAATGGCCAAGGACTGAGCAGCTTTAATTCAATGACATTGCAATCGCCACTTGAGGAAAGAGGTGGAGGGGGGTTAGGAGTAAACGTGAGGAGCAATCTCAGGACTCTTCCCAGGAGCCTATTCCTGCGGAGGAAGGGAGGGAGAAGGGGGAAGGTGTTACCTGAGGGCCAGCAGGGGCCGGCAGGGGATGTAGGGTTGGGGGGGCTGTTCCGGTGGGTGTGGCCATGTGAGAGAGAGAGGGAGAGCTGGTGACGGGGAGAGACGGACAGAGACAGACTGATGCTTTAAGATGGAGAGAACTGAGCATGTTTGCTCAGGAAAAGCAGCTAGTGGAGAAGGAAAGGTTGAAGACAGATTTGAGAAGAGATTATCCATGGAGCAAAGTCTCTGGAAAGGGTGGGTGGAACGTGTTAGCCTTGAAAAGGAGGATGACATTGGAGAGAAAGAGGCGACAGTGGTAAGGACAGTAATTTTCTAGGTAAAAGGGTGTGAAATTGAGGAAGTGCCCGTCTGATAACCTGGATCATCTCTGTGGAGCAGAGCTGGGTCCACTGCGGGGAGGGTGTGGGGGAGCTTGCAGGGCTTGGGGGAGGGGGAGGGCAGGGAGTGGAATGAGGGGGCTGGGCTGGTCCGAAGTTGGGGATGGGGGCGGGGCAGGGGCCCTGCACTGGCCTCATCCATACTGCAGTGTGTTCTTCCTCCGGCAGATCTGTAATCATAAACCATAATCTGGCCATGAGTGCAGGGAGGGGATAATTTGATTGCTCTGGGATTCTGAGTTTTAGAGAGGCTCCAGCTCTGACAACGGATGGGGTGTTTGAGAGTGCAGCCCCAACGTGGAGCCTGGGCTTCCTAGGGAAATAACCACAACCAAGATGTGGCTGACGGGTCCAGAAAAAAAGGGAAGGACTAAGGAGCTGGGGATTCTAGTGGAGTAGAAAGGCTGGAGGTGTTGAGTAATGGAGTGAGAAAGCCCAAAGGAGGGGACGGCGTCAGGAAATGGGAACACCAGAATTGAAGATGTTAGTGGTGGAGGGGCGTGGGGCCGGCCAGGTCGCAGATGCAGCTGTGGGAGTGAGTTGACAGGGTAGCAGTGAATGATTTTGGGATTGAGGCTATCACGGTACTATAAGTTTAGGGCACTGGATCAGTCCACATCAAGGGCCATGCCACAGGGATGGCCAGACTTAGAATGAAGAGGATGATTGATACTGGAATTCTAAGACTCCGAAGGAATGATCTAGAAGCTGACAGTGATGAGAAGGGCTAAACAGTAGAAGACCAGGGGTGCTTCCAGAGAGATTATTGCCAGAATGTGGAAGGATGACAGTGTCCCTGTGGCAATAAGGAGCCAGGAGAACACTTGCGTGTCCTCCTTGCTCTGTGCTATGTTGGGCATTCAAGAGTGAGCAGGACTCCAAGAGGATGATGATGTAGGGAATTTACTGGCATTGGAGTGGGTTCCAGAAAGCGTTATGAAAGGGGTGGGGAGTCAGGATAATCGAAGAAAGATAGCCCAGGAGTGAAATGAGAATTCTTATTTTCTCCTTAAAACAACAACAACAAAATCCACACCGCTGTGAGACAGGTCAGACTATTATTTTGAGCCGCATTTTAGAGATAAGAAAAAGAGTCCAAGAATTGGAAAGCTGTGCCCTTGAGTTAGGAGCAGATCCAGGAGTCACACCTGGTCCCCTTAGGGTGAGGACATCCCAGGCGCGGAGAGAGCTACAGCTCCCGGCAAGCGTCGCTCCCACTGCAGAAAAAGCAGAGGGGAGGAGAGGAAGAAAGTCAGGCGGGTTTCTCTGTCTGCCTCCCCAGGCAACCAGAACATCCCGCAAGGCCATCGCCTTTGGGAAGCGCTCACACTCCATGAAGCGTAATCTCAACGCACCTGTCACCAAGGCGGGCTGGCTCTTCAAACAGGTGAGGCCTCCCCTGCTGTCCGCCCACCAGGACCTCCACTTTCTCCTCATTGCTCTGCTTCCTCTGTAGTTACAGGAATAGTCCCTGCATGTTTTGGTATGTCCTCCCGTGTCCTATTTTTGGTATGTTATATCTCTGTGAATGAATCTCCTAATTTCATGAAGACTCAGAGAAGTTGAATATCTTCCCAAAGTCACACAGAAAAATAATGTCACATTTGGGAACCCAGCCAGGTCTCCTAATGGGCAGATGGAATGACAGAAAGATGCTGGGTCGCCAACCGCATCAGAGCAACCCACTGGCTCGTTCTCAGGAGGTCCCTCTTGCTGTGAAGGAAGGGGGGTGTCCTTAGTCCCGGGGTCCACTAAGTCTTCCCAGTTTGACCTCACCACCCTCCCTGCCCACCCTCTGCCCACTCATCCTGGCTCACCTCTCACCCCTTTTATCTTCCCCCGGAGAGACACTGAGGCCTGGGCTGACAGAACTGGAAGGTTACAGACAATAATCTAACGTCACTTTCCTGCATCTGAGGTCTCAAGGGGGTTGGCTGCCACTTATTGGCGGCAGAGCTGCGACCAGAGGCAGGATGGCCTTATAATTAGTGCCACGCTCCTTCCCCTGCAGCCCCCCTCCCATGCCCAGCTCACAGTCCCTCCCCTCTGTCCCCACTTGTCCCGCAGGCCAGCTCCGGGGTTAAGCAGTGGAACAAGCGCTGGTTCGTCCTGGTGGATCGCTGCCTCTTCTACTACAAAGGTGAGCTTGCCTCTTCTCCTGGGGCTGGCCGGGGCCGCAGGAAGGCAGGGCCCACCGCTCTTTCTCATTCTGCCAGACCACCGGGCTCTGCTTCGGGTGGACGTTGGTTGGTGGACATTGGTAGGGGCGGGGGTGGGGTTGCAAATCCGCCCCATAGCCTCGGGCACGCGTGGGGTGTGACGGCGGGATAAAGACAGAGCCCGCTTGCTCACGTGGTCACTCACTTCACATTCAACAGTGTTTACTGTGCGCCCTCCAGGTTTCAGGCAGAGTTCTAGGTGCTGCTGGAGGACACAGTGGGCAAAGAGTGAGGTCCTGGAGTGGGGGATGGGCTAGGAAGAGGAGGACGAGGAGGAAGGCCCCTAGTCACTACTAGCGCCTGACCTACCAATCGGAACTTACGTGTTGATCTGCCTACCCCTGGAGTGTCTGAGCCGAATCTACGAAGGCGGAAATCTCGGTTTCGTTCACAGCAGTAGCCACAGCGCCTAAAACAGTGCGTGGCACACAGTAGGTGCTCAATCAGTGTTGAGTAAGTGAATATCCCCAGCTTCCACCCTCTGTGCCCACCCCAACACTCACTCCCAAGCCTCTCAACAAAAAAGAGAGAGAGAGAGACCTAATAACTTTGGTGAGGCAGCCTCTGGGAAGTTATTTTTAAAATAAATGTACAGCAGTGTCGTGCCAGGCAGGTCCTGAGGGAGCTGGTGAGGCTTGAGGACAGGGCCGGCCCTGGCAGGCTGCTGCGGGGCCACGGGAAGAGAAGGGTAAAATGGTTTTGCAGCAGGAGAGGCTGATTCCTTTCCTCCATGCCCTGGGAATGGCAGGGCCCTGACTTCCCTGGGCCTCCTGGGAGCAGTTCAGTGAATCATTAACTTCCACAAACAAGGGTTGTACCCAGTGACCCCTCCAGAGTACTGCTGTCCCTGTGCCCTGAGTCGCTGCCACCTGAACCCCAAAAAGAGAAATCAGGAAGGGGCTGCAGAGACAGGGTCCAGCCACAGAAAAAACCCCAAAACTGGGGGAGAAGAATCTGCCCGGGGCGTGGCCCCTGGTGCCGGGCCTCTGGGACCCAGGGCTGGCTGGAGCCAGAGTCTGAACGAAGCTGAAGGAAAGCCAGGATCTCTGCAGAGGAGAGACTGTGGGACTGGCCGGAGGGGAGAAACTGAAAAGTTGTGAACTCAAAGGGCACTGTGATGGGGGCCACCATCCACTGAGAGACGCTCTCAAGAGCCCCTGTAAACATTGGCCCGGACACTGCCAGGCAGAAGGCCATTGCCTCCAGAGGGTGGCAGCCTCTACTTTTCTGAAGAAGCCCTGGGTCCCCAGCCCCGGGCTCTTCCTGATCCTTTGGCTTCGCCCTTCTTCTGGGTGCCATGCTGACTCTGCAGAGGAAGCTGGACCTTAAGCCAGGTATCTTGTGTGAGTGATGAGGAAGCGGAGAAGGGGAGCTCATGACTCTAATCCCCGAGACTCCTTCTGACGCCTAATGGAGGGTTTTCCAGGGTTTCTAGCCCCGGGAACAAAGAGCTATCCCAGGGAAGTGGGGAGTTGTCCCCCCCACCTATTCCACAGAACACCCCCACCTTTTGAGGTTCCTGCCAACGGCTGGGGTCCCGACTAGCTCATCCATCAGGCTCCTTTGGAGATCGAGGTTGGATTATATAGGAGCCTGGTTGTTAGCCTGATGCAGGGACCAGAGGGCCAAGGGGTTCTGCAGGTGTGTGTCTGCCTGTAGAGACATGGGGCCATAAAGGGGAAGACAGACCCCTGTCAGGAGAGGACAGAGCAAGCTACTGGGTGCCTGGGAGAACCTTAGAAACAGTTACCCAGAAGAGCCAGAGCCGAAGATGGGACTGCTCTGCCATGCCCAATCCCATTATTATCCCATTACATATATCCCCCCTGGAATTGTCTTGCTTGGGGAGGCTCTATAGATAGGAGAGTGGCTAGGAATGCTTGCTTGGGAGGGGAGCCTGCCTGGCTTAGTCGGTAGAGCATGAGACTCTTGATCTTGGGGTTGTGAGTTTGAGCCCCACGGTGGGGGTGGAGTTTAAAAAAAAAAAAATGCTTGCTTGGGAGTCAGACTTCTTGGGTCCAAAGACCAATCCACCACTCTCTACTTCAGTAACGTTGGACAAATTACTTAACCTCTCTGTGTCTCTACCTCCTTACCCATAAAATGGGGTAATCGCAGTACCTATTCATTGGGTCGTGGGTAGGGTTAAATCCATAATCATAAATGACTTATTTAACTTAGAACAGTACCTGATGAATAGCAAACCCTCCATCACATTAGCTGTTCCTTATTTGTCTACCTGCATCCCAGAAGGTAAGCTCCCAGCGGGTGGGTGGCACTTCTCTCCCATCTGCCTCTGTAGTCCCAGCATCTAGAACAGGGTCTGCAGGGCTGCTGCAGGGAGTGTGCCTCTCCGTGCTGTGCAGAGCACAGCCTGTGTGCTGGAGGGTGGCGGCCCTCGGTGCCTGACCAGTAGTAGATGAGCCACACGGACGTATTGCTGTTTATCATTCTAGGGCTGATAGACTCCTCCCCTCTCTCTGTGCACGCGCACTCAGCAGGCATGCGCACCTCACCTGTCCCTCTACCCAACAGATGAGAAGGAGGAGAGCATCCTGGGCAGCATCCCCCTCCTGAGCTTCCGGGTGGCCGCCGTGCAGCCTTCGGACAACATCAGCCGAAAACACACCTTTAAGGTCAGTTGGCCCTTCCTCTCCCAGGTCAGGTGTGGAAGGGAGGCCTGCTCTTCTATAGCATGAAGGAGTGGAGAAGGACCCTGAGCCACCTCTCCACGGAGTCCCCAGTGGTAGTGGAGGGAGGGAGAAGGCAGTGGCCCCTGGAGTCAGTCCCACCTCTATCGAGACCACCTCCTCTTATCTTGGGAGTCAGCTGGGTGGTTCTCCTCAGGTTGCGCTGGGAGAGATGGGCCTCAGTGGTACCCCAGTTTTTCCTGGGGGAGAAGTACTTAACGTCCTGAACCCATGCGCTCTCCGCCCAATGGCCTGGAGGCAGAGGCAGGGGCTGTGGGCTGGTGGGGTTCTGACATCCCTTCTAGAAAGCAATCCTCCCTACATTGGGCCCAGGAAACTAGACACCCAGTCAAACCTACTCAAATTTCAATCTCTAAAGAAAATTAGGAGTTGAGTTTGATTACAACCAAGAAAGACGAACTTCATGCAGACCGTAGTTTGGGAGAATAGGAGCATGGGAAGATGGGCCTCACGCGCCTGCTCAGTGTCCCTCCCTTGGAACCACCCGGGGAATCCACCCATCAAAGATGTGCTTGCAGTTGGCTCATTGCAAGCTGGTGTTTTTCTACGTTTAAAAATTCATGACCCATTAAAAACAATAAAAATCCCGTGCCCTTTTTGTATTTTATGATGCAAAGACCAGAGGCTCCTTTTCATTTCCAAATAGAAAATGATGATACCGGCTATGCATTTTCTTAGCACAAAGCCCTCCCTCCCCAGTTGAAAATGGCTGTCCAGGTCCCTGAAAACCGAAAGCTATGGTGTGGGATGATGATAGGAACTGCAGGTAATGCCAGATCAGTATCTGAGCCTGTGGGATCTCAGAGACTCTGCCCCTTCCTGTCCTTCAGACTCTGGTCACCTGACCGTGGAAAAGAGCATGGGCAGGATACACAGGTGCTGCTCCGGGGAACAAGGAGGGGCTTCTTTGGCACATAATTAGTTCGTAGCCTCCTAGGGTCCTGTCTGCCAGAGGTGTGAACAGAATGAACAATTAATAAAACTCTAGCTCTAGGGAGCCGGGTTCTAGCTGGGAAAGTAGAAACAGGTTGTTTAACCAACAACAGACAGTCCTACTATACACATTCGCGCCCACACCGCCACACAGCCCAACAGCCCAACCCCTCTAGACCTGTGCACAGACACATCCACACTCCAGCTCGGAGCTGTGCCAGCAGCAGGCATTCCGGCAGCGTCCCGAGTGACTGACACACACACACACACACGCACGCACACGCACGCGCGCACACACACACGCACACGCAGGCACACGGCCCCGGCTCTCTGTGCCCCGCCGCCCTCCCCTCCTTCCCCTTCCCCCAAGGAGTGCACTGCCTCTTTAAAACCCAACTCTGAGGGCTGTGCTCAGTGGCCCACAAAGGGTTCCAATTGTGGCTATTCAGTGGCCCTTCCCCAGGGAAGGGAAGGGAGCAGAGACAGATGGGAGGCTTGTCCTGTTGCAGCCACCAAGTGAAACTCTTGGATGGCTAATAATGAGCTGGGCGCTAGTCCTGCCCAGCCTGCTGCTGAGTGCCTTAACCTCTTCCTAACCCAGCCCCATGGGGGCTCAGGGGACTTCACCGCACTGGGGTAGCTCCCTCGGTCTGCGGCCCCCCTCCACGGTGCCAGGCCGGTGTCCCCTCCAGCTGCCTGTCAACTGCCCTGTTTACCCCCAGCCCCTCCCCCTTCCTCTGTTGCAAGCAGTATGCTCCTGTGCCTTTGCTCTCCCCTTGTCTCCCGTGGGCATGTTTTGTCCTCTAGCTTGACCGTGAGCTCTTCAAGTGCAGAGAGCATGTCTGTTTTGCTGTGATTGGTGCCCAGAGCAGAGCTCTGCAGGCACAGGGTGCTCACTAGCAAATTAATTCACTTGCTGCCCACTCCTGCCAGCGCCAGTTCACACCCACCAGTCCCGCCTGTCTCCCTCTTCTCTACAACAACCCTGTGTCCTCCATGCCGGAGAGCTCGCCAGGTCCCCTGCTCTCCCTATCCAGGTGCCTCCTTACAGCTTTGCTGGCTGGAAGCACCTCCCCGCGTCTGCCCACGAGCTGGGCCCCCTGCTGGAGGGTGGGAACGGGTGGCATCCAGAGGAAGTAGGACATGTCACTGGGTAATGACTCCCGTCAGAAAGGAATCGTGTGCCGGGGAAGGGTGGTACAGAGGAGTGAAGGTCCAGCCGGGGAAGCATTTGGAGAGTGTGGATTTGACACTGCTGCTTCCGAGAGCCCTGGGGCTTGGTCAGGAGAGCCCCGTCTTCTCTCCTTCCAAGCCTGCGAGACCCATGATTTCACACTCAAGGGGTCAGAGACGAAAGAGAGGTTCACATCTGAGACTATTAGTGACTTGGATTTCTCATGTTGAGTGGGGTAAACCAGGCTACCTGCTTTTTCTGTGAGATTGAAGGTCTCACCCAGGGAGTATGCTGAGGTCCCAAAAAGAATTGAGCTCTGGAGCATTTTTCCCCTGTGTCCTAAGGACTTTGATCTTCACCAGGAAGATCCCTCCCCATTAGACAGATGCATCCCTTCAGGCCAGAACAGAAACCCAAGTCTTATGCAGCTGCAGAGCTGGTTGGGAACAGAGCTAGAATCAGCACTGGGATGCCCTGAATCCTCTCCGCCAACAGCCCCAGTTGCTTGGGGCAAGCTCTGCACTCCCCACCCTTGGTGGGCATCCTGGGCATCACTACGTGCTGTCGTCCCCATGGCTGCAATAGCGAGTAGAAGGGGATAATCTGAAACCCCCCCACTTCCCTCTGCTCCTCAATATTCCTGCCACGTCATCTTCTGTCTCTCCCTCTGGTGTCTGGTTGACCTGTTCTCTGCTTCTCCTCCTTCTGACTGCGTGAGGACCCCTCCTCTGGACAGGAGCTCCCTTCTGGGTTCCCGCCTGCCACACCTGCTCGCGGCCGCCAACTAGGTAGCGTGCTCTAACTGGCAGTGCATGCCCCTTGCATGCGCAGGGAGGTGGAGGCCTGTCTGTCTCTCTGTACCAGCTCCTCAGAGGCCAAGCTGGGGCCAGGACGGGCATGGGCTTGGGGGCGGGGTGGGGGAACATCTCTCCCAGACATCGGATAATAATTACCCTTCAAATCAAAGATGGAATTTGATGGGAGAGTGGGCGTGGTAATTGCCCTTCCTGTTTATAATCACCTTAGGTGGGGCAGGTAAGCTTCCCTGGCTATTGGGCCGCTGGGTGGTATGCAGAGAGCTATAGCCCATATGCCAGAGCTAGAACACTTGGCATAGCTGGGGGCTGTCCTCCTCACCTTGCTCCTGAGCTGCAGGGGGTAGGGGAAAGAGCTACAGACCAAGGGAATGGCCTACCTGACCACCTGTTCTGTGGATGTGGCTGTCTTCCCCTACAGGTGACTACATGCTGGGTGGATGAGGCTGGGGCCAGTTCCACGAACTGCCTCTCCCCACAGGCCGAGCACGCCGGGGTCCGCACCTACTTCTTCAGTGCCGAGAGCCCCGAGGAGCAGGAGGCCTGGATCCAGGCCATGGGGGAGGCTGCCCGAGTCCAGATTCCCCCAGCCCAGAAGTCGGTGCCCCAAGCTGTGCGTCACAGGTGAGTTCCAGGGCACTGGGCATGGGCGTGGGGAGTGCCAGAGAAAGAAGAGTGAGGAAGCACCCCCCTCTATGACCTCCTGAGCCCAGTGCTGGCTCAAACCTCTGAGGACATGTGAACCACTCCTTGCCTCCCAGCAGGGTGCCTGGCTAAGTGATTTCGAGGCCTGGGGTCTCTCTTCCCCTGATTGGGTCTACCTCTTCTCTCTGGGCTGGTAGAGGCCAAGAGAGAAGTCAGGTTCCCTCGGGGCCTGGCCAGAAGCCAAAGACCAGGGTCATTCACTCGTTTATTCTTGGCTGTGCACATTAAACCCATGACTTCTGGAGGAGGGTGGACTCGGGTTCGAATCCCCACTTAGCCCCTTGCCCACACTGTGACATCAGTGTGAGTTACTTAACCTCTCTCAACCTGAATTTCCTCTCCTCGAAGACAGCAGTTAGAATCCTCCCTCAAGGGGTGGCTGTGAAATCTGGACGTGCAGGGAGCACTCAGCCCATGGTGGCCCCATCCCCGTCCCCACCCGCCACCCCCTGCAGCCTCAGGGCCTGTCTTTACTCAGTATGTGGAGTCCTGAGGTAGATGTTAACAGGGATCCAGAGGAAGGAGGTTTTACGGTATAGACAGACTCCAAGTCTATTTTAGTGTCTTAGAAGTGTTTAACACAGGGAATGTCGCCACAAGGATGCTTGAATATGTTGGGTTTGGGAAGCCACAGGGAAAACATAGTCACGAGGTTCCATCTTCACGTCAGCGGAGGGGCGTACTTCCAGAAGTTCGCTCATTCAGTTCGTAAATATTTACTGTAAGTAGGTATGTGTCAAGCACTGGATCGGGTGCTAGGGAAACAAGGGAAGACAAGTCTACACGCTCCTGCCTCGTGGAGCTTACTTTCTGACAGAGTCAGTCCTGGAAGAAGCTTGTTCTGGAGATGCGAACTAGCATGTTTCTGTGCCGAGGATGTTTGAGGCAACAGCTCTGGCGCCTGGCGCCTGCCACATTTAAGCTCACGGTCCTGCGAGGGGAGGGACTGGTACACCCATCCTGCCAACAAGGAGCCCAAGGCTCGCTGAAGTTAAGGAACTTATACAGGACACAGGGCTGACCTGTAACAAGGTTCTGTAGCCGAAACATCAAGGACAGTCACCATTATGGAGATTTGGTAGGGCGTGTATGGAGCTTTCGGGGCTGGAGGGGAGACAGACTGCCGGGGAGACCAAGTCTAGGGGAGGTCAGTGGCTGGATTCAATGCAGGTCAGCAGAAGGGAGCAGAGAGTGACCCATGGAGATGACCTGGAGGGTAAAACAAGCAAACCTTGCATAGGCAAGATTGGACTATGTTTTATAGTGATTGTCCAGGCTGGAGCAAGAAAGCAAAATGGGGGGGATTGGGGCACGTGGGTGGCTCAGTCGTTGAGCGTCTGCCTTCGGCTGGGGTCATGGTCCCAGGGTCCTGGGATCTAGCCCCGCATCGGGCTCCCTGCTCAGCGGGAAGCCTGCTTCTCCCTCTCCCACTCCCCCTGCTTGTGTTCTTGCTCTCGCTGTGTCTCTCTGTCAAATAAATAAAATCTTTTAAAAAATGGGGGGGGGGATTTTAGGAAACAAAATTGCAATTCACTGAGTCCCATTTCCATTGCTACCTTCCTGCCCACCGTCCTCCACTCCTTTTTCCTTCCCAGTCTACCACCCCCTGCCCAGCTCCGCCCTGAGCTGGGGTCACTTACAACATCTCCCTTGGTGTCCAGCAGCCACGAGAAGCCAGACTCCGAGAACATCCCACCTAGTAAACACCACCACCAGCCATCCCACAACAGCCTCCCCAAGCCTGAGCCCGAGGCCAAGACTCGAGGGGAGGGTGACGGCCGGGGCTGCGAGAAGGCTGAGAGGAAACCCGAGAGACCCGAAGTCAAGAGCGAGCCTCTGGTGAAAGCCAATGGCATCCAAGCCGGACCCGAACCAGCCTCGGAGCCCGGCAGCCCTTACCCTGAGGGCCCGAGGGTCCCAGGGGGAGGGGATCGGCCCGCCCAGCCCAATGGCTGGCAGTATGGCTCCCCGAGCCGACCAGGGAGCACAGCTTTCCCACCTCAGGATTCAGAGAGCGGGGGACACCAGCGGAGCTTCCCCCCGCGTGCCGACCCCGACAAAATTGCCCAGCGCAAGAGCTCCATGAACCAGCTTCAGCAGTGGGTGAACCTGCGCAGAGGGGTGCCCCCACCTGACGACCTTCGCAGGTGAGTCCTGGTGGGGCGCCGGCGTGGAGCTGGGGTGGTGTTAGGGCTGGGCCCGGGGAGGGGAGGGCGTAACATGTGCAGCATCCCCTGCCGGAAATCTTCTGGAAGCCAGGCTGAGTTGGGACACCAGGAAGACCCTCCAGCCCAGGGTTCCCAACTTGTCCAAATCCTCTACTGCCCCGCGGCTCCAGCCGTGGAGTGTGACTCCTGCCCGGCTCCTGCCCTGTTTACTTTCTTCGGAGACAAGGCCGGAGCACCCAGCGCCTCTCGGCGAGGATGCGGGGTGCCCGGGAGGCGTGCAGGCACTCGGAGGGAGGGGCCTTCGAGTTGTGCCAGTCAGAGAGCCATCCGTGCGTCCGGCCCTCTTACAACACCCTCGGTGCCATCCGGTGTCTCTGCCACCACGAGCCTCACCGGCCGCCAAGCCAACTCACCCCAGTTTTGAACGGCTCTAATTGTTTGCAAGTCTTTATATGCAGCTTAAGAAAAGGAAAGGAAACAGAATGTTGCTGCTCACCAATGCTAGTTCTGCCCTCTAGACCAATTTACTCCTTTGTCCAGTGACTGGCTTTCAAACACCGGAAGACATTTTTTGGGCCCGGAGCATGCATCTAGGGCAAGCGGGGCTGCGGCTCCTTCCCTGCAGGGGTGGGCAGCTCCCCGGAGCGCAGGTGCCCCTTCCCTGCGGGGGTGGACAGCTCCCTGGAGCTCAGGTGCGGGCCACAGGAAGGCTGCTAACATGCTCACCACTGCTGCCCTGGTGCCTGGGACATCTGGCCTGCCCCGGGGCGAGCGCCTCACTTGGCATGAGTCCCAGGAACCTACTGGTCCCGTCCTTGTTGAGAACATCAAACCAGGGAAACTGCCCTTTTGTCCCTCCTCTGTCACCCTCCCCAGCACGCAGTACGCTCATGTTCTTTTTGCTCTTTCTGCCGTTCACCTCTCTGGAAAGGATCTGATACATGGGTTCATGGTGGGATAGAAATAGCTAATAAGGCTTAAAGTTTCTCCCCAGGGCTATTTCATTTTAAAAAGACAAAGATGGAAGCTCTGAATGTGAAATTTCCAGCATTGGGTGGCTGGTTGAGGGAGGAAGCTGAGGGAGCTTTCCCTGCACCCCCGGAAGCCAGGCTCAGTGCCCAGGCAGTGGCTGCCTCCGCGGGCTCCCAGAGTCGGCCTGGGGCACCGTTCACCTGGGCACACCCTGCTCTAGGCTGGAGGACCCGGAGGTGGGGCTGGGGCGCAGCGGTGGGGTGGGTGGGGTTGCGCTCATTTTGTCTGGCTTCCTTACAATGTCCTCTCTCTCTCTCAGTCCCTCTAGGTTCTACCCCGTGTCCCGCAGGGTCCCTGAGTATTACAGCCCCTACTCCTCCCAGTACCCCGATGATTACCAGTACTACCCACCAGGGGTGCGGCCGGACAGCATCTGCTCGATGCCGGCCTACGATCGGATCAGCCCACCCTGGGCGCTGGAGGACAAGCGCCACTCGTTCCGCAACGGAGGCGGCCCTGCCTTCCAGCTGCGGGAGTGGAAGGAGCCCCCGGGCTACGGGAGGCCGGATGGCACCGTCTGGCTCCCTGGCCCCTCCCCCTCCCGGCAGCCAGTCTATTACGATGAGCTGGACGCCACCTCCGGCTCCCTGCGCCGCCTGTCCTTGCAGCCCCGCTCCCACTCTGTGCCGCGCTCGCCCAGCCAGGGCTCCTACAGCCGTGCCCGCATTTACTCCCCCGTCCGCTCACCCAGTGCCCGCTTTGAGCGCCTGCCACCTCGCAGCGAGGACATCTATGCTGACCCCGCTGCCTATGTGGTGAGGCGGTCCATCAGCTCCCCCAAGGTGAGCCACCAGCCTGCCCTTCCTTCCTCATGCCCTGAGACCCCCCCAGAAGCCTACTACCATCTGCAGAGGAGAGGTGGAAGTGAGGGGGGCATCTGGGACTTGGGGTCACTGTGTCCCCCGGGGACACACACTGTGTGTTGGCAGGAGCCACGATGATGCCCGGGGGAGCTTCTGGCCCTGCGGGTCTGTCCGTGGGAGAGCTGCTTTGGGGCATTTGCTTTGACCCCTGAGTAGGAACATTGCTGTTGGTGCCTGTCCCCAGGTCATGCCAGGAACCCTAATCCTGTGTTTGAGGGCAGAGAGGGTTCTGTCTTTACACATCTTGGGGACCAGACAGGTCAATGCAAGGATACTGCAGCGAATAAATGCTGCCCATTTTCATTTGGCATCTGCTTTGGGACAGGATACAAACATCCCTAACCTTGAACTTCAGTTGGTGGGGAAGCCTGTGTCCCAGCCGGACCCCCTCACCTCTCCAATTCCCTTTCTCTTCCAGTATGATTACCTGGGAGACAGGCGGCCAGTCCCTGCAGGACTGTTCCCCTACAACTGCCCACCATCCCCCACGGTCCACGATAAGATGGTACGTCCTCTCCTCCCATCCACTTCCCGCAGAACCTCTCCTTCCAGGGCGGGGCCAAACTAGGGCAGCCACAGGGATGCTCTGGGCCTGGTGCCTGGCCCTCCTGGTCTTTAGCAGCCTCTGGATACTCCTCCCTCCCGGCCAGGACTCTGGCCCCAGTGCAGAGTTTGATGCCAGTTACCCCATGTCTGGGACACAAGGTAGAGGAGCAGGGACAAGGCCTGGAGGCGTGTGGTGTCCTGACCCTCTGGACTCCTCAGCAGCCTCCTGTGCAGTGTGCAGGGGCGCCCCCATCCGGGGCCCAGTGAGTGTCCAATAACAGGCATTTTCTCCAAGTCTGTCCTTGCCTGGAGTGCTACTTTTGGGGAAAGAGACAAGTAGTGAGATCAAGGAAGAAAATCTTTTCCATATTATGTCTTTTTCTTCTTTTCTCCCTGCTTTCTACTTGTCTGTCCCGGGAATTTGTTCTCCAGAGAATTTTTGTCTCCCCCCAGAGAACTGGATGCAGATGCTCCACCTGGGATGGGGGTGGGTACGCTGGAACGAACAGGCTGAGTCCTTGTCCCCAAAAGCCTGTTGCCGACGCCTGTCCCTACATAGCCGTGGGAAGCCCGGGCGGAGGAGCCTGTACAGGCATGGAGGGCGCCCCTCCCCTCCCCCTTGATCCTTCTCTGTCCAAGCTCTAGCCCTGACACACAGCTCAGCACCCATCTAGGAACAATGGATTCTTCCTTAAAACTCAGGAGCTGCTAGGGAGGGCCGCCTAGATTGTTTCAGGGTGCTTCCCTCTCCCAGGCGAGGGCCAGGCAGACCAGGAGCCCTGGAGCTGGGGCCCCAGTGAGTCCCTCCTCTCGCTCGGCATCCGGTAGACAACTTGTTGCCTGCCCCCAGCCTCATCCCTGCCCTTCCCTAGAACTCTTCAAGGGCAGACAGAGGCCTCTCTTTGACCTTGCCCCCCAGCTAACTCTTAACTGCTTTGCTTCCTTTTTATTGTTTTCCGTTGTCTTGTTCCTGTTTGTGTTGCCGTTGGGCTTCGGGCTCCGGGTAGGATGAACTTTTAGACCTTCAGTTGCAAAGAAACCTAGAGTATTTGGATCAGCAGGTAGGCAGAGCTGGTGCCCCCTCGCCATTCCCCTGCTCCCCCTGCCACCCCATCTGTCTCCCTGCTCCTCCCCACCTCCTTCTCGCCCATCCATTTGACAACCTTTGTTGGCACCACCAGGACACAACAAAGTGGCTTATATTTTGGTTTGCGCATTCACACCCCCTCTCCTCAAAGCCCTTTAGGGCAGCTGGGAGTTTCCTGGGGAAAGGAGAATAAGAAATGACCACATGAATAATTAATGCCACCTCCTATTTGTTCAGGCCAGCTGGAACTTGGGGGGGGGGTGGGCAGGCAGGAATTTGCATTTCTGCAGGAGAGAGCAGCAGGGGCGGTGGAAGGGGGCGGGGCTGAGCAGCCAGGCTCAGCCTAAAAATGCAAGGGATTCCCTGCGGCCTGAATCTGGGAAACTATCTATCCTAGTGCACAGGTGGTTGTTAAAACTCCACAGTTTGTAAACTGAGGACTACAGACTTGCCCTAGGATGGTTTTTTAAAATTATATTAGTTCCATATATTTGTTAGTTCCTCTGCCAAGTTCTTTTGCATACGGGGCTCGTGTTCTCCTCAAGAATTCCGCATGGCAGACAGAGTGTTAGCAACCTCGTTTCATCTGGAAGAGTCTGTGAGTGTTCCCATAGATGGAAGTGATTAGCTGCAGAGACCCGGCTCCAGGCTCTAACCATTGGCTACCTTGCCTTTTGAAACTGAGGGGCGTTGAGACACGCTGGGGGGTCAGGATGCTGGGCCTTGATTTGAGCACATACTCTTACCTAAGTCCAGATCTGCGCTACAAATCACAGGGGACCTGGGCATCCCCAGTGTGGCCCGGTGGAGGCGGCCCGAGGTGGTGAAGTTATTATAGTAGGAGTCGTAGTAATAGTAGTAGGAATGGCGGCCGCCACCGTAACTGGGTGCTTTCTCTGTGCCTCATGCTATTCTGAGTTCCTTATAGATCCTAAGGCGTTTAGTCTTTGTAACAACACTGCAGGGTGGGTACTGTTGTTATCCCTCTTTAGAACTGATAAAACTAAAGAAACAGAGAGGTTAAGTAACATGCCAAGGACACACAGCCAGCGAATGGTGGAGCTTGGAATGTGACTCTGAGCTTTTGATCCAGTTTATGGCTGAGGAGATACCTAATATACGAAGAAGCAGGAGTCAAACCTCCTCAGGATGATTTTATGCTCTTAAAGTTGCAGAAAGAACATTAAACTTGAAATCAGAGGCTGTTGCTGAAACAGTTGGTGGTTCCAGACACAAGTCATATGCCACATAACCTGTTGTCTCACGGGCCTCCGTGCCTTGGTGGGATCATCCTCATAGAAGGCCTTGGGCACTGGGAAGCCCTGGTATCCACATTTTAATCAGCAGGGACAGCTCCCAGCCCTCACGAACCTTGCGTTATTAGTTCCAGAAGCCCCATGTGGTGTCCACACCACGAGTATTCCAGTGCACATGGGGACGAGGCTCAGGATGCCAGCCCAGACTGGCAGTGGGAAGTGCAGGCTCGCACCTGCAGGAAGCAGGATCTGCAGTGCCCGGAGTAGCGAGGAGCAGGGCTGAGTGGCCTCGGGGCTCCTGGGCAGGCTTTCCTCTCTGCGGCCCATCTACAGTGCCTGGCTGTGCCAGCATTCAGTGCCACTGCGGGGCCCCTCCTGGGGCTTCTGCCCTCATGGACAGGCTGGGCCCTTAGGCTGGGAGCTTCAGAAATAACCCTTCAGAGGACCTCCTGTAGATAAAGGATAATAATCTTAAAAGGGAGTTTTATCTGATAAGAGTCTAGGGGCGCCTAGGCGGCTCAGTCAGTTAAGCGTCCGACTCTTGATTTCAGCTCAGGTCTTGATCTCCGGGTTGTGAGTTCAAGCCCCATGTTGGGCTCCATGCTGGGCATGGAGCCTGCTTAAAAATACTATGAACTTAACCTGAGACTGAGACTTTCTGTCATATTTGATTAAATAAATTCAAAAAAAAAAAAAAAAAAAAAAGGGTCCAGAACGTGGAGTCAGACATTCTAGTCCCAGCTCTGCCATTTACAATGGTTTTTTGTTGTGGTTTTTTTTTTTTTTAACTTCAAAATGTTGCTTCATCTCTCTGGGCCTTTGTTTTCTCACTCATAAAATGGACATTGTAGAACCTGCCTTTCCCGCCTCCCAGATTTGCTGGAGGATCAAGTAAGAGCGTACATGCCAGCACTGGGTCGGGCGGTGGTGAGCAGCGCTAACTGCTGCGATGATTATTTTATTCTTTTCCTTCTGACATTCAATTTAAAATATTAACTGAGCACTTTATGATGTATAAGACACTGTGCTAGGTACTTTCTCACAAAATTTGACATTTTGGACAGACAGAAGGTGGCATGGAGGAATCCTAGAGGCAAAGCCCACATGGGCCAGAAGATCCCCCAGAGCCACAGTGTGAATGGGAGCAGACCAGGGTGAGAACATTCTGGCTTGCCTTCTTTAGTGCTTGAGATCCACTGGTTGGGCGAGCAGTGAGATCAATGCGTGTCCAGGCAAAACCTGGGCCTCTTTGCCCTCTCAAAGCCTGGTGTGTTAGCAGGTCCTACACACACACACACACACACACACACACACACACACACGACGCAGGTATGGTTCACAGGCAACAGACACACACACGTATACACACACCATATACAATCACACACACACCACACATGCATGCCCTGTGCACAATAAACATGACCTCATACACACAGGATTCCAAGAAGATAGGGGCTGACTTGAGTTCTGATCCTTCCAGAAAATGGGGCTGATGTCCTGTTGACCGTGAACTATTTTATGAAGCCTCAACCTCCTACTACAACTGCTCTTTGGAAAGCCTTTTAAATGACACTTGATGCCTTCAAAAAAATTCCAAATGGGCTAAAGAGGTAGAGAGATCAGATCCTAGGAAAGCCTTTCAAAATGCTATGGACTCTGCAGATGGGGATGGCTGGGTGCCACTCGCCCTGTCCCCAGCACACAGAAGCAAGGCCACCTTTGGGTTGCCACCTAAACGGGTAAGAGGGAAAATACGTGCGGGCCCAATGAAGATGGGGGAGGTAAGAGCCAAAAATGTGAGGGCCTCCTGAACTGTGACCCCAGAAACTCTGCCCTAACGTGGCTCTGTCCCTTCCCTCACTCACCTCATCTCCCCAAAAAGCTTTTCCCACACGACTTTCCTCTGTCTTCTGCTACCTTGTCCTGTAGGTTGATGAGTTAAAGGGACATAGCCAAGGACACGCCCTAATATTTTCACTCTTTGATGCCATTAAACTGGAACCAGGGGGCGGAAATGATGGCGTCTCTAGTTGATTGGCTTGGCTTGTCTTCCCTCCCTTACTCCCCTCCTCCCTCTCCCTTGCCCTTCTTCATCTCTCTCTTTCCCCCTCCGTGTTCCTAATGATTCTTGAAACACAAAGATGACGTGTCAGAGAACAGTGTTCGAGTATCTGCTGTCCCTTTAACGCGGCTTGCTTGTTTTGGCCTCCTTATTTGCTCCCTGGCGTCATCCAAGATCGGCATGGATGCTACCAGCCCAGCTCTGGAAACCGTGTTTAGCAATCCTTTCTACTCTAGAGCTAAGAGGTGGGCTGGGGTCGGGGAGAGAGAGTTGTGCCTCTTTGTGAAGGCCCAACCAAAGAGCAGCCCCAGGGTTTCTTTCTCAGCTGCTGATTTAGTTCAAACTTGGGGAGAAGGGTTTTCCTACCTGCCAGTGTGGTGTTTGACCAAAGCAGCATGAGGAAAAGAGGCGGGGCAGGGAGTTGACCTTGGCCAGTGAGGATGAGACCTGCCGCACCTCTCAGGCACCCTGGGGAGCGTGTCACTGGGCAAGGGGTCTCTTCAGGGCCAGCGAGCGAGGGCACAGCAGCCCCCAGCCCCCCTTATGTGACCTTTCCTCGGGGCACCTTCGGTGCTGGTCCTGGGACGGAGCTCACAAGGGGTGAGCGACAGGTAAAGCCGAGCAGAGGGAGCTGGAGACCCCAGGACAAGCTGCCCTTTCCTGTTTCCGGGGAAGCGAGCCCAGGAGGGAGATGGGGAGATAGCTCCATGGGGGTCCGAGTTTGAATCGTCCGTTCCTTCCTCTGCTGCAGATGAGTGAGAGCGAGACTCTCATCAGTATGGTGAACCGCATGGTGGAGAGCTCCTCCCCCAGGGCCCAGATCTTCATGCAAGTAAGACCTCCGCCTGGCAGCATGGTCCCCGTCAGCACCATTTCAGCTGCTTGTGCATGGTCTAGTCAAGCCATTTGGGCTAGGGTTTGCTCTGCCCTACCCGCTCATCTGCCAGGCCTCATCTCCTGGGCCCCGCCTTGTCTTCCTCCTCTAATTCCACTGTGTCTCCTCCATTCTTCACGTTCATGGGTGAATCCGAGGCCCATTTCTCAAACCATCAATACAGCCGGCACCGACATCCCATACCATGCCAGCGATCGCAAATCTGCTTTCTCAAGTCCAGGACTTCTGTTTCATGTTGGGTATCTTCTTCACAGACATCTTCGAGGTTCAGGGCACAAGGGGTGTGATATGGAACCATCTGATGCCCCAGTGGTGTAGAATGTGCCATGGTCACCGGATGTATCACCAAGACTGGGCAGCATTTGCTGGACCCAGACATACTCCTGGTTAAGCACATCCCCCCCACCCCGCCCCGTGACTGGTGTGCAATCTATCAAGATAATCATTCTCAGATGTTTTCGGGGCTCATTCCATTTCCGCATGTCTCATCCTCAAAGATAGCCACGGATTAACTGTTGTTCTCAGGGTTGTTCCCAATAAGCCATCCGGGATCTCTGCACCCCCGGAGTCCCTCTCCACAGGAGATCTAGAGGTTGGGGGAGAGAGAGGAGATCCTGAGTCAGAGCTGAGCAGCATCAGTGTCTCCATAAATCAGCCTAAGCAATAGGGAGGAACCTAGATGGGGCTACGCCAGGCTTCCCAGCCAGGGACAAAGAATTAGCTCGGGTTCCCGGACTGGAAGCTGCCAGAGCTGATGGACCACGGTCTCTGACAAGAACGGAGCAAGGGCTGTCCGCTTTCCTGCCCCCACACGCCCTACCCGTCCCCTGCTGCTGTAACCAGCCTCATGTCCCCGCAGGTCCCTCCGTACCCAGAAGTGTTCCGGGACGGTCTCCACACCTACAAGTTAAACGAGCAAGACACAGATGTAAGAGCAGCTCTCCTGCTCCCCTGTCCTCTCCAGTCCCTCCCGTTGTCTTCCTCATCTTCGCTCTCCTCCGCTGGGGCTTTTCCTCCGTTCATCTCTGTCCTTCTGGTGGCTCTTCACGCCTTTGACTCATGTCCTCTCTCAGCGCAAAGACAACATTCTGCCTGCCCCTTCCTCATCCCCCTTCTTTTCGCATCCTTCCCCCTTCCCCGCCCGCCCCGTGCTGGCCGTGTGTGTTTCTCCACGGAGCCCTAGGCCCTGTCTCCAGCAGTGGGATCTGCTCATTACAGGAACACGGACTTCGTTAGGAGGTGCATCGGCCAGCCTACACTGTGCCCACGTTGGCAGTCGCCCCTAGGCCACTAGAGGGAAGCACACAGCCCTGCCCCTGGCCTCAGGGAGCTCCAGGGTAGTGGGAGAGGCCAGGTAGCCGTGGGTGACAGCATATGATTCCTGTGCCAAATGGGATGGACAGTGGGTGCGGCAGGAGGGCAGGGCAGTGAGACCATGTGGGCCGGTGGGTCAGGGACAAAGCAGGTAACAGGTGAGCTGGGCCTGGAAGTTAGAAGGCCCAGAAGACAAGATGTGGCCAGTAGAAAAGAGTCGAGGGGGTATTTGAGGAATGGCATGAATAAAGGTATGGATATTGGAAAGCCTAAGTCTTTCCAGAAGAGAAGCGTGGCCTACCCTGCCTCCTTCCGGTCACCACTGGTCTTGCCTGGGTAGTGGATCTGCCCAGTAGGCCTGGGAGAGTTTCCATCCAGGCAAGGGCCAGACCTCAGGAGGATCCCAGCGTCAGCCATCCTGAGACCCTGGGAGGAGAGGAGAATAGAGTCCTGTGAGCCTGGGGAACCAGTTTACATGGTTCACTGGTTTTCCTAAGACTGCTCGTTCAGGCACCCTGCGTACTCCCCCGGTCCATGCCCCCCTGGGAGGCCAGGCCACATTATCTCCTCAACCCTTCTGGAATTGGAACCCCCCGGAGGAGGGGGATGCAGGAGCTTAACATTGAACCCCCCTCTACAGCTGACTCACTTCCTCAGAGAATAAGCGCATCTCCCCTCCCAGTAGGTCCTTGGGGAGTCTCCTGAGGTGAAGACCATCTTCCTGTTCCCAGGAGCCTCCAAGGTCAAGGTGAAGAAGGCTTAGGGTTCCTCCGCAGGGGAAAGGAGGCAGTATCCAGAGGCCAGGCCCTTCCGACCCATTTCCCAGGTCCCCATCAAACCATGTCCTTCACCCCCTTCTCTCTCCCTCCCTTCCCCCTTACCCCCTCGGGCCCCCAGAAGCTGCTGGGCAAATTGTGTGAGCAGAACAAGGTGGTGAGGGAGCAGGACCGGCTGGTACAGCAGCTCCGAGCTGAGAAGGTGAGAGCCAGGGGGTGGCCTGGAGTTGGGGGCATGTGGGGAGGCTGGCTCGGGCAGGTGTGTGGTGCTGTCTCCCCGCTAAGCTGCCAAAGCCTTGTCTTAAACTTCTGTCCTGCCCTTAACTGGCACTGCTGGGGCTCAGGCCTCTGCTGCTTAGAATCCCAGAGAGGAATCATCAGGGCTGCTGACGGCCATTCCCCTGCCTTCTTTCAGGAGAGCCTGGAAAGTGCCTTGATGGGGACCCACCAGGAGCTGGAGATGTTTGGAAACCAGCCTGCCTACCCGGAGAAGCTGCTGCACAAGAAAGAGTCCCTACAGAACCAGCTCATCAACATCCGTGTGGAGCTGTCGCAGGCGACCACGGTACCACTCCCCCCCCATCCCCGGTCCACGTTTCAGCACCAGCGCAGGAGGGCCACCCCTCCCAGGCTGTGCTCGCTCCTTCCCGACTCTCCTCGGTGGCCAAGAGCAGGGTGCTCTTGGCCAGAAGGGGCAGAAACGAAAGACCTTAATAGTGCCTTGCTGGGGCGCCTGGGTGGCTCAGTTGGTTAAGCATCTGCCTTCCGCTAAGGTCATGATCCCAGGCTCCTGTGGGGAGTCTGTTTCTCTCTCTGACTCTCCCCCCTCTCGTGCTCTCTCTCTCTCACTCATTCTCTCTCAAATAAATAAAATCTTAAAAAAAAAAAGAAATGGTGCCTTGCCGATAGGCAGCGAGCATGCCGGCTCACTCACTCCATGGAGTCTCCTGCAAGGAAACGGGCTTCTCTTTCCACAAACTGTTCCCGCCCTGAGATTCGTTCAGGGCAGGGTGAGGTCGAGGGCTCCTGATCTCGTTGGCTGCTTTCACAGCTTTGCTGCCTCCCTCTGTCCTCTCCCCTGGAGAACTGGGACCCCCGCGCAGGGCTGCTGGCCCGGTCATTTGCTGTGGGCGCAGGGCAGACCCTGCAGGACCGACTGCCCGGACAGGAGTTCTGGGGTGCCACAGCAAAAGGGCCTGGAAAACATGGTCCAGAAGGGTGGAAGGTCTCTAACCCCCAGGGAGCAGACACCTCTGGGTTTCCTCTCTTTTTGCCGTCCACTTTGGGTTACCCAGTCTGAGGACACCAGGAGGGGGTGGGCATGGTATGATCCCCTTTTGGCATACCCCCACACCCGGAGAGAATTCTGGTTTCTGTATTTTTCGGCCTGCAGTCGGATGGGCCACTGTTGGGCTGTCATCAGAATGTCTCAGCCCTGGGCCCTCTCCTCTGGTCCCTCTGTGCCCTCCTCTGAGCCCTGCCAGACCCCAGGTGCCCTTGCCCCGGGCCCTGTGGGGGGTCTGGGGGGGAAGGCTTTGGCAATGGCCACTTTCTCAGTAAGCCCCCCCACCCCCCACCCCCTCCCGTTGCAGGCCCTGACGAACAGCACCATAGAGTACGAGAGCCTTGAGTCAGAGGTGTCTGCCCTGCACGATGACCTCTGGGAGCAGCTCAATTTGGACGTCCAGGTAAGAGGGGCCTGGGCAGGAGGGGTCAGTGTGCCCTCCCTTCTCCTTTGGGCCAAAACAGACCAAAGTGGCTTCCTTTCTTGCTTTCGAGATCTCAGAGACTTGAGACAGGGAGTCGGCCCTGAGACAAAAGACAAGGTTCACATCCGCCTAAAACAGATGCTTTCTGGCTGAAGACTATGTGGGATCTTCTTTAGTTCCAGCAGATCATGAGGAAGGAGTAAAGCAGAAACATGAGCGCGCTAGGTTAGACAGAAGATACTTCATGACGGGAAGGCTTTAACACATCGATATACATATGGATGTAGATCTGGATGTGGATAGAGATCCACATGCGGGGAGAGATGTGGGCATGTGTGCAGCTGTCTCCCGTGACCTCCGAAGGAGTAGGCTGTGTGGGAACCTGCCACTCAGGACCTTTAAGATAGGAAAGAGGCTTCGCTTCCCAGGACGGGTTAGAAACACTCTGCTTGGAGGCAGGAGGCTGCACATATTGACCTTCGGGAGTTCCTGTTCTTTGCCTCCCTCCATCTGCTCTACCCGGGCTCTGCCTCTTCTCTAGCTAGCTTTGCAAACTCTGTCTCTCTGATGCAGTTCATGCCCCCGACTTCCCCTAGTTTCCTTCGGGTGACAAAACTCACCACCCCACATTGCAGCTGGTTAGGGAGGCGGAGGTGAAGGCCCTCCTGGTCCAGAGCACCTGAATGCTTGCGTGTCCTATGGGCAAGCCTGACTTTCAAAATGAACATTTTAGGGGGTAGGAAAGCATCCTGATCAAGGGCACCAGCTCTCAAGACAAATAGATCCAGACTCAGATGGCGGTCACACTGCTTACTAACAGAGGGTCTTGGGCACAAGTCTCTTCATCTCCAAAGTTGGGACACCTGCGGCCGGTGCCGCACAGAGTTCTCGAGCAGCTGAAAGGAGTTAGTGTTTGCAGAGCCCTTAGCGCCGTGCCTGGCACGTGGGGTGGAGGGGCGTGGGGTGCTAAAGAAGTGGTAGCTATGATTTTTCAAAGAGTGCAAACTCTAACTGAATATAATTTCATGAATACTTAGGCAGACATTGGGTGTCGGTATTACAAAAGGACCATTTGGATGGAAAGACTATTAGTCAATTGGAAACCCTTGCCCTTGACAACAGGCTACCATCGAGGGTCCACCTAGAGGGGCATTTGCTCCAAGACCACCCTGATCTCCCCCGGGGAAGCTGAGGCTGCATGTTTACCTAAAGGGGCTCTTGACTGTGATGACAGGTCCCTCTCCTCTGGCAATTCCCAAGTTCCGTTTTGTAGAAGCTGAAGAGGAAGACGCTTCTTCCCATGGGGAAGATGAATGTGCCGAACGGACGTGTGAGCGTGTGCACGCGTGCAAGGCTCCTGCCTCCTGCTGGCCCAAAGGGATGCGGGTGTTGGGGGGAGAAGGCTGGGGCACTCCTCACAGCCACTTCCCTTGACCCGCTCTTGGGCGGTTTCAGAATGAGGTGCTCAACCGGCAAATCCAGAAGGAGATCTGGAGGATCCAGGACGTGCTGGAGGGGCTGAGGAAGAATAACCCATCCCGGGGCACAGACACGGCCAAGCACAGAGGTGGGTGCCTTCTCCACCAGCCTCCTGAAAGGCTCACCAGAAATGCTCTGGGGTCCCTGGCGTCTACCCCACATCTGTCATCTCATCCCTCTCCAGGCCCTCACACTGTGCGCAGAGCTAGTCAGGGCCTTCTCAGGCCTCTGGGATCTTCCCCTAGGATGGTGGGTAGGGCTCCCTTCATCCTCCCCTCCTCCCAGAACAGACCAGGCAGGCCACTCAGAGATGTTGTTGACCCTGATAGTCTAGATTCCTCCCCAGAAAGGGTCAAAGAGCACCTGTGCCTCCCCACCCCCACCCCCACCCAAGCCCATGGGCCGGGCGGTGATCTGAAGCCCTGGGACTTTGGGCTGGCTTTCTTTGATGTCTCGGAGGCAACAGTGTTCTTTCCATCCATCATCTAACCCCTGCCCAGCATGCTTCTCCACGGCCAGCCTGCATCCCAACCCTTGGAATAAGTCCCTCCATCAGGCCCGGGTGGCCCTGAAACCTCCCTCCCACGGCCCTGGGTCCTCCCCTGCCTCCTCCACCTACGGAGCCCACCCCTACCCCATCCATCCCTCATCTCTCCTCTCTGCTTGCCCCCAGGAGGACTTGGCCCCACGGCCACCTACAGCTCCAACAGCCCTGCCAGCCCTCTCAGCTCCACCAGCCTCACCAGCCCCCTAAGCCCCTTCTCTCTGGTGTCCGGCTCGCAGGGGTCCCCCACCAAGCCCGGGTCCAGTGAGGTAAGCTGAGAAAATGGAGTAGAAGGTAGGTGGGGGAGGGAGGGAGGACCAGGTCCTCGTTGGCCTGAAGAACACAGACTCTGTGTCCATCTCTGCCCCACAGGCCTCCAGGCCTAGTGCTTTGGCTTTCGGTCTAAGGTGGTCATTCTCACACCCAGTCTGGTGAACTTCCTTCAAGATTTTTCCTTTACTTGCTCTCATCAGCATTTGTCATCTTTAGCCTCCTTCTGGGGAAGTCTCTTCCTGAACTCCAGGACGGTTAACAAAGATACCCAACACTTAGTAGGAATTTAAATCCAGGACTGTTCCAGCATGCGAGAGGGTTGAGGGTGGGCATGGGGAGCAGTATCCTAGCTAGTCAATCAGCAGGTGTTTACTGGGGCTCTACACGGGGCAAGGGATGGCGTGAGGCCCTCTCAGAAACATACATGTGCATGCCCAAGGCCCTTCTCCCGGGGAGTCCAGTGTCCAGCGGGGGACCAAGACTGATTTATAGGAAGCAGCCAGCCTCTGGAACTTGGCAGCATGTGTCTCGGTGTGGACCGTAAATGCCCTGGTGTTCCGAGGAGAAGGTGGAACTTTCATTGGGACAGGTAGAGGAGCAAGAAGCGTCACAGACAGGAGAGGGGGCAGAAGCAAAGACACGGGGGTGCAGATGTGCCCAGGGTGATGGTGAGGCCAATGAGCAGGGAGCTTTGTAGAAAAACTGGGGAAGAGTGGGGAGCGGTGTACAGGTGCACGCTCGGCCAGGAAGAGCCCTGAAGCTAGGCTGAGAGTTCACTCCGGAGCTGGAGGTCCCTCCAGGTTGCGGGTGGGAGTTTGGCGGTCCAGGGGGCCCACCCGAGGTCCCCACGATGTCACCTGTCCCCTGCTAATGCTCTTTTCTTCTGCTCTCACAGTGGCTGGTCTCCTTCCTCCTAATGCTCTGGCTTCTCTCTGCCTCAGGAGCCCGGCCCACCACGGCCCCCCCTCCCCAAAGCCTACGTCCCCCTGGAGTCTCCTCCAAACGTGCCGCCACTCCCTAGCGAGAGCCGCTTCTGGCCATACCCCAGCTCCCCTTCCTGGCACCGCAGTGGCGAGCCAGCCAGGGGTCAGGTACCCAGCACCCTTGGGTCCTGGAGGGCAGGGGTGGAGGGAGTGGGGTGAAGGGTCAGGCAAGGGGACCAGGCAGGACACGGAGCCATTTTTCCCCCGTTGCAATATTAATTTGCCCACTGCTGCCTGGTCAGACTCTAGGATAAGGCAAGGGGTGGCAGAGGATGCTTTCCCCTTTCTGCCCTCTGTGGACAGAGGGAAAATGAGTGTCGCCCCCCACCCCGTGCCCGGGCTCCTGGGCAGCCCCTGGCTGTGAGTGGTGGTGTGCCTCACATCCTACCAGCACGAGCAGGCAAGGGAAATCGAGGGACCAGCAGCGACGGGTGCCATTCCAGTCCCTTCCTGCCCGCCTCAGACCCTGGTGCTTCCATGCTGTCTGTCTCTCTGCCTTGTGTGTCCTCTTGAGCCCCATCAGCCCTGGGGTGTAAGCTGCTCTGTTCTGGCTCCCCAGCCTCTCTCCCCAGGACAGAGGTACAGTTAGGCTGGGAAAAGGTTGCGTGGTGAGTAGTCCTGTGTCTAGAACCGGGAGTCATCTTTTCATCCCGGCACAGCTGCTGGGATAAGCACGGCCCTGAGGGGTTGCCGGTGAGCGGGGCCGAGAGGCAGTGTCACTCCCACTTTCCAGACGAGGGGAGGCGAGGGGGCTCACCCATGCTCTCTCAGTGGACTCGAGCCGGTGCTTCCGGCCTCTGGCTCAGGGTTTCTGTGTGTCCCTCATGAAGACTTAGACTCTTTGGCTGCACCACGGGAGTGGGGTGGGGGGGCTGCCGATGCTGTCTGAGGCCCCTTCTCGTCTCATGATTCTGCAAGCCCTCAAGCTAAGTGCACGTTTCCGTCCCCCAGAATCTTGGTACCGAAGCCCACCTGGTTCTCTGGCTCAAGTTTTGGGTGAGATCCTGACAGAAGCCTCAGAGATCCTCGGCCTTGTAGCCCCGTCCTCCAGCCATTCCTCCTCTCTGGCTCACAGCAAGTCTGTGCTTCTTGGCACTCGCCAAGAGGCCTGGTCAGGTTGAGGGGCCTCTCTGCTGGGCCTTGGCTGAGGGCCTTCTGGAAGCCCTGAGCCCTCGCAAGATGAGCCAGCATTGGCCGGCCTTAAGGTGGCATGGGTGGGAGGCCCCATGGCGTCCCTGCCTGCTGCCCAGCTGACACACTTAGAGTCTGCTCGTCCTGTGTTTTCAAGGGTTTGTGCTCCAGCCATTGCAAAGCAAAGAAACATCCCTGAGGGCCAAGTTCCCAGCAGTCCCTACAGCATGGACCGTCTTCTCCTTTTTTCCCCCAGCCCAAGGCAAGCCATGAGCAGAGCAAGAAAGACCCGCACCAGACATCACCCCTGGATACCGCTAGAGACAACAGCCTTGCGCCCACCAGGCAAGAGGTGGAGGCAGAGAAGCAGGCAGCTCTCAACAAAGGTACTTCCTGTCCCATCCTCCCCTAGAAGGAAGGCCAGGGCTCAGAGAGGAGCCCAGAGAGGTGCTCCTTCACAGCCAAAGAGAGCAAGTACCCACCCATTCTGGGCCTTTCATCTCTGCCACAGATGGGACTGAGCCTCCTCAGAGAAGCAGGCTCCCTGTCTCTCTGCCCTCTGGCTCTCCAGAAGGCCTACTGGCTGTTCTGTCTCCCTACAGTTGGCATTGTGCCTCCTCGGACAAAGTCGCCCGCTGATGAAGAGCTAACTCCATCAAGGGTGGTGAGGAGGAGTGCCACTGGGCTCACCAATGGACTGTCCTCCCGGGTGAGTACAGCCTGTGGGCGCAGAGGCCCAGATGGGCCTGAGCTGCGCTGGGGGCCCAGGGGCCCGTGTGTGTCCACCCATCTGTCCACCATTCAAGAAACCCAGGGCGGGAGGAGGAAGGCAGGACAAGTGGTAGGAGGGCAACAGCCCCACTGTTGAAGTCTTCCATCAGGGAGACGTCTCAAGGGACAAGGAAGATACACATAAGAAAGATAGAGGAGGGGCGCCTGGGGGGCTCGGTCGTCGAGCGCTGTGTTCGGCTCGGGTCGTGATCCCGGGGATCCTGGGATCGAGCCCCGCATCGGGCTCCCTGCTCGGCGGGGAGCCTGCTTCTCCCTCTCCCACTCCCCCTGCTTGTGTTCCCTCGCTCACTGTGTCTCTCTCTGTCAAATAAATAAATAAAAATCTTAAAAAAAAAAAAAAAGAAAGAAGAATAGTTAGCAAAATATTTTTTTTAAATATTTTATTTCTTAATTTGAGAGAGAGAGAGAGAGAGAGCATGGGCAGGGAGGGGGGGTGCAGAGGGAGAGGGAGAAGCAGACTCTCCTGCTGAACGGGGAGCCTGATGCAGGCTCCCAGGACGCTGGGATCATGACCAAAGCCAAAGGGAGACGGTTCACCGCCTGAGCCACCCAGGCGCCCCTTCACAAAATTATTATAATGTGCCAGCGATGAACTACAAATCCAGCAAAAATCAACGATCAGAGTCAAATGTGCTGACTTAAGGCAGTAGACTCATTTCCTGGGGCTGCTGGGAAATTGACAAAGCCCCCCAAACTTGGGGGCTTAAAAACAACAGGAAGTTTATTCTGTCACAGTTGTGGAGGCCGGAAGTGCCCAATTGAGGTGTCAGCAGGGTTGGTTCCTCAAGAGGCTCTGCCCATGCCTCTCTCCTAGCTTCCAGTGTTGCTGGCCATCTCTGGTGTTCCTTGGCTCGTAGACACAGCACTCCAGTATCTGCATCCACCTTCTACTCTGTGTCTTCTTCTGTTCTGTCTCCTATAAAGATACCTAAGATTGGATTCAGGGTCCACTCCAATTCCCGATGATCTCTTCTTGAGGTCCTTACCTTAATCACATCTGCAAAGACCCTTTCCACATCGGGTCACATTCACAGGTCCTACGGGGTTAGGACGTGCACATATGTTTTAGGGGCCATTCTTTAACCCACTCCAGACAGGCTTCCCAAAGAAGGGACACTGAAGGCATTAGGGCAGATGAGGATGCTGGGAGGGGGGATGAGCACCCGTCAGAGCCCTCTTCTGCTGTAGCAGGAGCGCCCCAAGAGTGCTGTGTTCCCTGGAGAGGGCAAGGTGAAGATGAGCGTGGAGGAGCAGATTGACCGCATGCGGAGACATCAGAGCAGCTCTATGAAGGAGAAGAGGAAGAGCCTGCAGCTCCCGGCCAGTCCTGCCCCTGACCCTGCCCCCCGGCCCGCCTATAAAGTGGTAAAGTCCTCCCAGCCACCCCCAGCCCGTGACCAGCCTGGACTGGGGCAGCTGTGTGGGGGGCATTGAGAGAGGGGCTGGGAAGGACCCAAGTTGGGCACCTGGGAGAACGGTGGGTGCGGGGGGAGCCTCTCCCCACTAGGCAGAAGATATACTGCAGCAAGTGTTCCTTGCATGTGTTTAAAGAAAAATGACTCACCAAAAGGAATGCATTGATGGTTTTAGTTGAAAAGAATTATACAAAATTCAGTTAATAGAGAATAGTGCAAAATTCAGCACCCAGGGATAGCCATCACTTACACACGTTTCTAGAGCATTTTCTGTGTATTTAGCCTTGGGCTGGGTCTACCGAAGGTAATCGTAATAGCACACTGGTGCGTGGCACCGTGCAGTTCTCAAATCTCACGTTGTTTTGTTTAGATCTTTCAGCAGTGCCAGGTTAGGAATTACCACCCCTGTCTTAGAGATAGGGAAACACAGTCAGGAGAAATTAAGGATTCTGGGACCACATGGCTATTGAGTATGGAGCTGGGAGTAGCCCCAGGCATCTGCCAAATTTTTCTTTCCACCACATTTCAGAAATACAGGAAAATTATGATCAAAAGTCCTACCCTCAAACAGCTTACACTCTCCCTGGTGGATTGGAGCTTCTATAATCGGAATCCACTAAAGACCAATGTAGGACACACTAATCCAACTGCCTAACATATATGGCACAGACTGTGAACACAGGGTACAGCCGGGTGGGAAGTAACGAGTCCTGATGAGACATATTGATGAGATTTGGCCTCTGGGCCTTTGCAGGGGGGGGCAGGCTTTGGATAAGCAGCATGGAAGGAGGTTAGCTCTCCCGCAGTGGGAGCGGTGGGGTGGCGGCCAGATTGGGCGTGATGAGCAGGGACAGTGAGGACGTGGGCCTGCTCAGGGCTGCCTGGAGGCACGGGTGGCAGGGGACCGAGTCCCTGTGTGGTCATGGTGGTGCTTTCCCCTAGGTGCGCCGTCACCGTAGCATCCACGAGGTGGACATCTCCAACTTGGAGGCGGCCCTGCGGGCAGAGGAGCCTGGTGGGCAGGCCTACGAGACGCCGAGGGAAGAAATTGCCCGGCTTCGCAAAATGGAACTGGAGCCCCAGCACTATGATGTGGACATCAGTAAGGAGGTGAGTGAAGTCCAGGAGGGCAGAGGGGGAGAAAGCCTGGGGCGGGGGGGCGGGGGGGGCGTGGGGAGGGGACGGAACGGCGGTGGTGACCTAGGTCCCTCCCCAGCTCTCCACACCAGACAAAGTCCTCATCCCCGAACGGTACATTGACCTGGAGCCTGATACTCCCCTGAGCCCCGAGGAATTGAAGGAGAAGCAGAAGAAGGTGGAAAGGATCAAGACACTCATTGCCAAGTCCAGGTAACGTGCCTGGGTGACCCTCAACATCCTCTGCCCATCCCGGCACGTGGGGCACCAGTGCCCCTGAATCCAGCACCCCGACCCATGCCAGTGGGAGCCCCGAGCCTCCCCAGCAGAGGGCAGACGGAGGCAGTGGCTCAAGGCAGCAGACCAGGCCCAGCCCTGCGGCCGGGGCAGGGATGCTGTCACTGCGTGCCAAAAAGACCTGCTGGGTGCAGGCGCGTGCTGTCGTCAAGACAAACTGAGGGGTTGCCCTCTGGTGACTTCTCTTCCTCATCAAGGCTGCCCTAAATGTTCACTTGAACCTTCTCCTTCATTTTGAGACACTGCAGTAGGGGGTCCCAAAATGTGTGTTGCCAGGGTCCCACTGCCCCCTGGGGACAGCCTCGCTGGGAACCAGAGCCTGCCCATTCGCAGGCCTCTGGCCACCCTGCCAACCTCAGTCCGCAGGCCCTCCCCCCCAAGCCAATTGGACCATCCTGTCCCCCCACTCCATGTCTGTGTGTCTGTGCCTCTTCAGTATGCAGAACGTGGTGCCCATCGGCGAGGGGGACCTTGTGGACGTGCCCCAGGACTCAGAGAGCCAGCTGCAGGAGCAGGAGAAGCGGATTGAAATCTCCTGTGCCCTGGCGACCGAGGCCTCCCGCAGGGGCCGCATGCTGTCTGGTGAGAGGGGCCGGGCCTCGCTCCTCCAGGGAGACTGGCTGACCAGGTGCAGGGGAGGAAGCTCAGTGCTGCGAGGGGGCCAGGGACAGAGAGGTACAGGGCCAGGGAGACTTTCCTCAAGGTCAGGATGAGCACTTACTGAGCACCAGGTACTGTGCCAGGCTCAGCAGGGTGCAGACGGGCCAGAGTTGCATCCGGGAGCTTAGAGCCGGGATGACCCTCCTATAGCCGCTCTCTGGAGGAATGGAGGAATGGCCAGAGGCCATGCAGGCAGCAAGGGCACCACCCTCCCTGGGCAGCTCGAGGAAAGGCACGGCTAAAGGGTGATCCCTGAGCTTGGTTGGGAAGGATAAAAGTATTACCAGTCGTGGAGTGGGGCCCGGCATTGCAGGGTACCCCCTCACTTCCCATTCTGGCTGTGTGCAGATAGGAAGGTGAAGGTGGGGCGGGTAGCCAGAGTTGAGGGCGATGCAGTCACTGCCCTGCCTACTGACCCAAACCCCCTTTTCTGCTAAGAAAAGATGAGCATGAGGAACAGACTTCACGCTGATAAAAAAAGCTAGAGGGTTCCGAGCAGTCACCGTGAGGTTGAAGTCAGCCTGAACTATCTTGCCCCAAGGAAGGTGAGACTGGAATTAGGAAGAACGGAAGAGACTCCCTTAATGGGAGGGTGAAGGACAGAGGAAAGACAGTGCCTACGTCATGAAGCCAGCCGGGGGGCAGACTACGTCGTCCTCCTCAGGACGAAAGGTGGTTAGGGCAGAGAGGGAGAGGGAGAGCTCTGAAGGCCAGTCCAGAGGGATGCCCAGGAGGGACGCCAGGTTTGCAAGGACTTTGCTAGGGGAGGAGGCAGAGAGACAGGTGTGCTGGCCCACAGTTACAGCAGCCTGGGCGAGGGGCCGGCAACGAGCAGATCGGGACTGCGGCCTCCTGGCCTTCCCGGCGGAAGGGGTGGCGTTTCGTGTTGGTGATCAAGAGGGGTTTGAATTCTGGCTTTCAGGGACTCCACACTCATCTGTAAAATTCTAATCAAAATACCTGCCTGGTGGTGTGAGGAATGGCAACAATACATGCTAAGCGCCTAGCACAGTGCCTGGCACTTAGTAAGTGCTCAATAAATGCTGGCCCAATGTGGGCGTGGTGGTGCTGGTGACGGCGCTAGGACTCGCTGACCTGGCAACAGCTGGAGTGGAAGTAGGGTCTGGGCGTGGTTTTTCTCCCTATTTAAAATATGGATATTTTTAGAAACCAGAGGGTTTCAGGCTAAAGGGAATTTACACCTTAAGGAAGAACCTACTGGCAGTTAAGGTCGAATGGACATTAAATGGTGGCCAGGGAAGACTGCTGGAGGTATTTCAGAGAGAGGCGGTTGGTTGGGCTGGAGTTGAGGACAAGAGAAGGGATGGGCTTCAGACAGTCCCATCCTGCAGCTAAAGGCAGCAGAACCAGTTTGGCTGCGTGGAGGCCTCTAGCCCACCTCTCTGTAGTTTAGCTGTAAAATGAACTCGAATCTTCCACAGATCAAATTCCTCGTGCTCTGGGCAAAAGGCAACTTCCTGTTTCAAGGGTTAGCGCACACAACACTGTTTTTAAAACTTCCCTCTGCCCTCGCCCCAGCCCCTGGCTCTCTCTACTGTTGTTTCCCAGCCAAAGGTTCCATGAAAACAAAACCCACCCTGGCCTCTCAGATTTCCCTCTCGATACACACCAGCTTACATTTCAGGGTCTATGCATTGAAAGCAAACCGTCACTTTGCTTTTGCCAAAACCCCAACTATTTAAAAAATGGCATAGCAGGGCCAGACCTCAGACTTAGCCCACTGTCCCCACTGCCCCTTGGCCTCTGGCCCAGATTCCCAGAGCTGCAGCTCTGCCAGGGACTGTGAGGACCGTGCGTGGGCATAGGTTCAAGCCTGGGACCGTGAGTATGGGGGTGCTGGGCATGGGCCCTCATGACAGCACGGCGTGCACAGGGTGAAGAGACCGTGCCCGAGTGTGGGTGTGTGGCATGGATGGCGTGCTCAGGAATGCTTGTCAGTAGCCGCAGAGCGTGCAGACTCATGTAGGAGGTATATGGGAAGACGTGATGTCGTGTGCAGTGTCTGTGTTGGGGGATGTTTGTAGAGGCATGTGCATTTGTGTGTATTCAAGTGCGTGGGTGGAGGGAATGTGTGAGTGCAAATATAGAACTATGTGTGTATATGTCTGCAAAATGTCTGTGGACATTGTGTGGAGACCACGATTTCTGAGTACAGGTGATATTTAGTAAGCTGTTGGAGTTTATGTATGTGTATGCCAGTGTGCAGTATAAGGATGGAGGTAGTGTTGATGAATGCATGTATTTATGTGTGACTGGCTTGTTCTGCAGTCTGGGGAGTGATAAAACACATCTGTGTATACGTTGTGCACAGTGTATACACGGCAATATTTGTAAATGTGTATCTGCGTAGGATGGCTGAGAGCAGGTCTCATGAAAGTGCAGGATGGGAGAGCAGGTGTGACTGGTGATTTATGCATGCAGATGTGGTAGTACTTGTGGACACACGGTTCTAATAACACACCTGTCCGCTACATAGCTACTATATATGTGAACTTTTAACTATTTCTTTTTTTTTAGGATTGTATTTATTTATTTGAGAGAAGAGAGAGAGAGCATGAGCAGGGGGAGGGGCAAAGGGAGAGGGAGAGGCAGGTTCCCTGCTGAGCAGGAAGCCCGATGTGGGGCTCGATCCCAGGACCCCAAGATCATGACCTGAGCTGAAGGCAGACGCTTAACTGACTGAGCCACCCAGGTGCCCCTCAATGGATATATTCCTAATATATATTTATAACATTTCTGCCTTCATAAAGAAGTTATATTTAACATAATTCATCTTTCTTGCTCTTGTTCATTTAGTATCATTATAAATATCCTTCTTTTCCTGACCCGTTGAAGGGATGCCCTCCGGGGCTCTCGTTGGTATAGACTGTAGCTCCCAAATTGTTACGCTTTTAAAAGGTATTATATCTACTTTTTACAAAAGACTTTTATGCCTCAGTTGTGCCTTCTTCTAGCTGTCAGTGGGCCTCCCGAGTCCTCTCTCTCCCCTAACTTCCCTGTTTCTGATCTCCCATGGGGTAGATGCCCAGCAGGTCAACTCCTCAGAAGTGTGTAGAAATAAGAGTAACTGGACTCCAGGGAGCTGGGTCTGTGAATAATTCTAAGAGTTTCACCGCATGCACGTTGCAATAGATATTTGGCTTTCTTGAAACAGCCCTGGCTTAGTTTTTGACTTTCTGACAGTTTTAGAAGTCGAAGTTGCCAAATGACTAACCGCTGGGTCTGCGATACAGACACACACACACAAATGTGTGTTCCGAAAGCGTTTGCGAATGTATGTGAGTGTGAAGTCACACGTGTATTGGTCCCCGTGGAAGAGTACGGGTTTGGAAGTGCACAAACGCATATCTGAGCTGTGTGCAGTGAGAGTCGAGTGCTGTTAGATCCCGGGCACAGACCATGTATTCTGTGTGGGTAGATACAGCTTCCTGCTCACGAGAAGGTTCCCACGTCTTGTGTATATCTGAGGCTGTATGTATACACGGGATGGGGGCTGCTCAGAGGGCAGGGAGGTGATGGGGTCCAGGGCAGGCTGGAGAGCAAGGGACTAGAAGTCGGATGCCAGGATTCTTCAGTTGGAGGAAACAGTGTGACCCTGGCTGAGGTCTGGTTCTCCTCTGAGGCCACGTGAGCACGCTCTCTCTGCCAGGCTCCTGCCTCACAGCAGCCCTGAGGGTGCCCGAGGGTCTGCAGACTGCAGAGAGCTCATCCCTCTTCATAGGACCCCCTCCTCATTGGCCTTCCACTTTGCTCTTCTCAGCATGGAATCATAACGATAATAGAGTAAAATCCATTAATTCAAATGCCACCACTTTAAGGTTTGTAATGATTTGTTCAGGGGTGGACCGAAGGTTGCCCCTTCTGGATTGATGAAAAGGGGGTCCCCAGGGATAGCGGGGGGCCAGGTTTCTGAGACTGTGAGCTGGTCCAAGTTCACGGTACTCCCTTCAACCCTGCCGGAAGCCTTGGTTTGCGTGGAGGTGATTCACGTGGTGGTAACTTGGATCTAGTCACCAGCCCGGGGCCTGATGATCTGGGTTAGTGTGGTTTTACCGCCCTGTTCATCATCATCGCCCGCGGAGCACCACGTGTAAGGTGCGGTCGCCTGCTCTTGTACGGATGTGAGTGGAGCCTTGGCCCAAAGGGGCCGGCCTCGCCCACAGTCCCACTGGTTCTCAGCAGAGCCTGCAGTGGCCCGGTCTCCTCCTCGGGGACCCTGTGCTCCTCCGTGGCGCCTGGGACCGAGGCCACGTCGGCCTCAGCTCTCCTCTCTGCTTGCCTCCTGCCTGGCTCCCCGCCTGGGGAAGGACCTCGCTTGCTCTGGGTGCCCGGCCTCCCCACCCCTGCCGCCCCCACCCACCCCTATTCACCTCCCTGTTCATTTCTGTTTCCAGTGCAATGTGCCACCCCAAGCCCTCCCACCTCCCCTGCTTCCCCGACTCCACCAGCCAACCCCCTATCGTCTGAATCCCCACGGGGCGCCGACAGCAGCCATACCATGCGGGTCTGAGCTCTGACGTAAGAACTTTTCTACTGTATTTCGTCCACCGCGGGGAGTGGGACCCCCGCCCCTCACCCCCACGAGCCATCTACCCACCCCGACACACCTCATTCCGGCATTGCTTCTCCCCCCAGCGCGCCGCCCCCGTGCCATGCCGCTCTCCCCACCCCTCCATCCGCTTGAGCCCGCAGCATCCCTGTCCCCGCCCGTGTCCCTGTTCCCGTGCAGTGCTGGGCCAGCGCCGGCTGGCGGGGCCGCCTCTTGGATGCCGCAGGGCCCGTGGGCTTTGCTTCTCCAGAAGCAGACAGGGACAGAGCCGAGGCCTCCCCTACCCCGCTGTGCGCCAACAAGCCTCTCCACTGCTGTGGAGATACACAGTAGCCCTGCCTCAGAAGCCCCCAGATCTTCTTTCTCCCAGATCAGCCCCAGATCTTCCTGTAAATTACAGTACCATGGGAAACTACGGCCAAGGGCCGTGTGCGTTCCTTGCCCCTAGCACACAGCCGCTTGGTATCAGGCAAGTGGGAAAGAGCAGGGACTTCCATTCATTTGCTCCCCTCTCGGGGCTGGGGGCGTGGGGCGGGGTTGGGGTTCTGCAGACTTGTGTCTCCTGGGAAGCTGGGCTGAGGCTGCTGCTCGGCGGGGAAGCGCCCTTCTCACCCGGTTCTCTTCTCTTCAGTGCAAGCTCTGGCCGAGGCCAACGCCGGGAAGCTGCACAGAGCCACATTCTGAAGGCCTCGGCCCCCTGAGGCCCCGGCTCCCCAGCCTGGCCCCCTGCCCCTGCGCGCCCGTGGGAGGGCTACAGGGAGCCAGGCTGGGGGCCGGGGCTGCTGCCCACACGTTACCTCAGTGTCCACACGGCCAGCACGCCCGGCCCCGAAGCCCTCGCGCCTCAGATGGCGGCCCCAGGCCGGGGCCCGAGATGGCGGGCAGGCAGCAGCCTCCAGCGCCCGCGGCCCAGGGGGCTAGGCCCGGCCCTGGCTGGTGGTGTGACGGTCCTGCTGGAACATTTCCTGCTGAAGAGGATGCCCTGGTGGGGAAGATGCTCTGGGCTCTCTCAGGTTAGGACTAGGCTGAGGAGAAGACGGATGGACGCTCTGCTTCTTCTGGCCCCTCCTGACACCAAGGGCGGCACCTGCCACCGGGTCCTTCCCCCATCGACACCCCTCCACCCCGCTGCCCCAGCTGCGCCCAGGGCTTTGACACGTCTCTGCTTAGGGGTGCTCCTTTGGGGTCCCGTGGAGACTGACCACCCTGCTTGAGCCAAAGACAAGATGACAAGAGCTGGGGAGAGGCTCCTCGGCTCCCAGGGGGCACAGTGCTGGCTGTGGGTAGAGAGAGGCACGCAGGTCTGTGCAGGGTCTGAGGGCAGGTTGAGAAGGGGGAGAGGAGAGAAAGGGAGAGGTGGAGGCCAGTGGGAGGGCCGGGAAGGGCAGGACTCATTTGCAAGTAAAAGGGTGAGGCGGAGGTGGAAAGGGGCTGTGGGATGGGCGGGTTTCCCTAGGATGGAGCCTTAGGTTAGTGCCAAGTACAGTGCCAGACTGTGGGCCCTGCTCCTGCACCTCGTCCCTCGGGTCCACGGGCCTGCCCACACACTGGCTCCAGGAGGACCCACCAGCGAGCCCAGGACGATCTTCAGCGGCAGCCGTGGGGACGAAGGTGTGGGGCTGCTGGTGCGGGTGAGCAGGTGGGACGATGGCCCTTTCTGGGTCTGGGCCTGGTGTCTGCCTCCTCCTCCTTGGCTCAGGGGCAGAGAGGAAGACCTCTGTCATGGAGGGTGTCGTCAGCCTTGGGGCCTTTCCTAACCACGTTCGGGACATTTTCTTGTCCCCCTGCCCCCTGGAATGTGCTGGGGGTCAACTGAGAGAGTGCCCCGGAGAGGAAATGCAGCCTTAATCTGGGAGGCTAGATTCTAGGGCCGCACCCCGCGTCCCGGGCATCCCTGAGGAGGACCCGGTGAGGCTGCAGGGAAGGACCTTCTTCTGGCATGGCTCTCTCACCATCTGCCTACCCGGGGAGCTTAGTGGAGGAGACACAGAAGCAAAGCTCATTTTTCCGCCTTGCCTCTCGTCTGGAGAGGACGGTAGCCAGGGAGGCGGGGGCGGGGGGGGTGGGGAGAGTGAAGCTGGAAAAGACTGCGCCCCTAAGCCTTCTCTTTACCAGAGCTAATGCTCAGAGACTTCAGCCTCCAGTGGCCCCGAGAACAACGACTTCATCTGCCACCAGTTCTCCACTCCTTCCCAGCTGGGCCAGTGACTGGTTCATATGCAAGTAAAGATGGCAACTCATTCAACAGATATTTATCGAGCACCTTTTATGTACCAGGCACTGTTCTAGGTGCTTAGGATACTCTTGTGCTTCGGAGGGATTGCAGGCTGGGGAATTCCACTTTCCTTTTAGCAGATTTTTTGACCATGACCTTTGGCTACATTTCCCATCTTTAGCACTGCTCGAGCACCCACACCTGTTTTCTCCTTCCCCGCCGACTGGCAGGTGAGGTTGGCCCTCTCCCTTTTTCCAACACCTTTCTCCATCCACAAGAAATGGCTGTTTCAGGGCCTCCATGCCTTTCCCCTTTCTTTGTCTCGCCTTTTTTTTTAAGTGGTATTTTTAGAAATACGTGTAAAAGACCAAGGATTAAGGTCTGCACCTCTTATCACCTCGCTCTCACCTCTTATTTCATAAAGCTGGCTCTTTATGTTGCTTTACATGCCTTAATATATGTTTGATGAAGATTATACATATTACAGATATATACATAATATATATATTTGTTTGGGCGTCTGATCCTTTCCCAGAACTCCTGCCCAGGCCCATTTCCCTCCTTTACCTTCCACACCATTCCTAGCACGTGTCGGCCACACCCCATGCCTTTTGATCCAAAGAAGGGGAGAAGACAGACTTATTTTAAGACAGATCTATTTTACGCTTTTATTATAAAAGCAAATCTATTTTCAAAATGTGCAATGTCTGAATGGAATCAGCAAATGATACGAGGAGATTGGGCGGCTGCCTCCAGGTCCAAGCCTCTTCCCGGCAGCTTCCTCCTCCCATCCCCCAGTCTGCAAAGGCCCGGGCCCCAGAGCTCACCCAGAGAGCATCTCACCAGGGCGGGACATTCTCTTGGAAGTCCTGGTCTAAGGATTTGATTCCACTGTCAACTCTTGACGACCCTCTAGGGTTACAGGATGTGAATCCTCTCAAAGGAAATGTTTACAGCTGTGTGCACAAAAGTACACCCCTGCGGGCACCCCCGCCATCCCCAGTATGCTCCCGGACCACCTCCCATCACCGATCTGCTGGAAAGGGCAGACAGAATGGGAGCCTATGCCAAACGGCACCAAGAATCCCACTCCCTGACGGAGCCAGGATACAGTGCAAAGGCCAAAGGAAATGGTTCGGGACCACAGGTCCTTCAGCACAGACACATTCGAGTTCCTTGGACTTCTCACACTCCTTGATCCCTTTCTGGTCTGGGTCACATCTATGACATCTGTCTCCTTCTGCGACCTTTCCTCGGGGGGCTGTTGTTAAGGGGGACGTTGGCTCAGTCTGGCATCCAGACTGCAAAGTCAGCTTCCAGACTGAAGCGGGTCCCACGGACAAGGTGACATCTCAACCTTGCCCAAGAAGACCCCAGGACTGTCCCCTGGTGGGCTGCCACTGGGGTGCTGAACTCCGCCAGCTCAGCCTTCCAAACTGCTTAGCGGCTGACAAAGTAGGCAAGGGGCTCTTGCCTCACAAGGATTTGGGCAGAATGGAAGTCTTCTGTCCAGGTCTGGAATCAAGGGTTTGGGACTGTCACAGAGCTCATGGCCAGCATTTAAAGCCTGATCTCCCAAATTTGACACGTCCTGGCACCCTATTCCCAGCCTAGAGCATCTTGTTATGAAAGAATGGTGCCCAGATGGAGGCCCAGGGCTAAGTGACCCACCGGGGGGCGGGGTGGACAGCCCTGGTTGCGATTCTGGGGCCTTGCCAATTAGCACATTACCTCCCTGATCATTAACCAAGAGGCTGTAATGAAATACTGCTACTGTCACTTTAAAGATTTTTCTGAGGTCGCAAGCTGTGCACACTAGCTCTCCGGCCTTGGTGAGAGGCATGTTCTTAGGGCAGGGCTGACTATAGCAAGACAGGATCGATCCCTTTCCCCTTTAGGCACCCCCCTACCTGGCAGCTCTTAAAACTAAGGAAAATATGAAATATACATAACATATACATATATCTATTTATGCACATACTGGGGCCAATTTGATCTGCTAGTATTAGACAATAAACCATACAAGGACATGTATGATCTCGGTGTCTTTATTTAGTATAAAAGTGACCTTAGAAGAAAAGTTAAGGTTAGCCAAACAGAGGGCATCTCTGTTGGGGGACCAAACATCTGTAGCCACCCCACAGCATCTTTCTAGCCAACGAGCCCGTCCCCGGGGAGGGGCATCCTGAGTATAGGTGAGCATCTGCTTTCCCGCTCCCCAGCATTCTTTCTAGATAATAGGTACTGAAGAATCCCAGTGAGCTCTGCATTTGTATCTTGCAAGTTTGTATAAACCCGATACAGGAAATAAAATGAATGGTTTGTACAAGTGGCCTGTGTCTCACACTTTGTCCGTGACTGTCTGTGGCTGAGGCTGGCCTTCTGGCTCATGGCAATTTCCAAGCTTGGCAGAAGAGGGGAGAGGGTCTGGGGTCGGGCCCTCCCTGACTAAAAGCAAAGCTGGGTCCTCCATATGCTGCCCACCGTGCTCATCTCCTCTGTCCAGGTAATCCCAAATCAAGGCTTGTCCCAAGGTCCTGTGTAATGAAAGTTACCAGAACAGTGCTCAGATCCTAGGAACCTCCCATTGATTTGTCTCTGAGACAGAGGTAGAAGAGTAAGAGAAGAAAATTAATTCTTAAGTTTCCTCAATTACTACACAATGGCCTATATTTCTGCTTTGGGGTACAAGAAGTTGTATTGATTTGGCGAGGGGCATCAGAAAAGCCACCCAAATTATTCTCATCCAGACTCAATGGTTATCCTTTCCAGATCCTCAGTGTGAAGGCTGCTCAATCTGAAATCTTTCAGTGAGCAAGAGTCAAGAAGCCCTGTGAATTCTATGTGGTGGAGAGGAGAAGAGAAAGTGAGCCCAGGATAGCGGTAGGCTGCCTAAGCTGGGCCCCTGCAGGATGTCTGGGGAGAAGTGGAGGCATTAATGGTTCGAGGAAGAGAAGAACACTGAGAAGAGATAGGAAGGCAAGGCTTTTCTAATTCCTGATTTTACCTTGCTCTGGTTCTAAGGGCTGATTTCGAATTCTGGACACCTGTTGTCATTCCTAAAGAGCTAGTAGTGTGTGTGTGTGTGTGTGTGTGTGTGTGTGTGTTTAACAAATAATATGACTATATTTGGGTTTTTGTAACATCATCAGGAGAGCTATTAAACCCTGACGTCCTTTGTGTATCAGACAGAATTGGGACCGATGCAGACTCACGACAGAGGTCTCTGGAGCTGGAGGAGGGCACGGGACCGCTCGTGGCTCTCCAGGGCCTGTGTCTCTATCTGCGGCACCCTCTGGGCCAGAGCCAGCGGCTTGGTGAGGAGGCGGGGTGTGAGAGCACCAGGCCCCGCTGGGTGTCGCTGTCCCCACAAACAAGGGCTGGCTTCTCTTCAAGAAGGAAGCCCGCGGAAATCTGCCTGCTGCAACACCTGGCCCAGATCAGTGCTCTGATCAAGACGGGCTGGGGTTGTAAAAGGGGGCGGCAGTCAGGAAATGTAAACGACAAAGCACCTAGCAGAATGCCCCTAAAGGAGTGGTGCTCTGTAACAGTGTGGTCCTGTTCTGTTCTCAGAGAGACGCAGGACGGGTTCAGGCGGGCAACCAGGCTTCAGATCCTGCTGCTGCCAGGGACCGGGGGCTACACCACATCTTCCTCATCCTTGAGCCTCCACTGTGTCCTGGTCCTGCTCCTTCGAGCTGCCTGAAGATGGGTCAAGTCACTAAAATTCTTGAGCCTCAGTTTCCTGGTCCATGAAATGGGGATATTAACCACCACCTTATGGAGCTCTCAAGAAAGTCAAATGAGAAAATGAATATGAGAAAAACACGTTGAAAACTCAAATTCATTTACAAATGTGAGGAGGTGGTGGTGACATTGTGTGGGCCCCTTGGCCACCTGCAGGGGCACGATGAGGGAAAAGGGAGACTGTCTCCCGATGTCCCCCTCTTCGCTGCCTCCACCGTGTTCGACGAAGACATCTCCAGGGCCCCACCATCCAGCCCTATGAGATGTCGCCCCCTGTCCACCTCTATTCCTCCAGCTCCCGCATTCTAGAGCCTACATCCTCCTCCCTGGGGTTGCCCCCATGAAGGGGCTCCTCTCCAGGACTGTGGGCTCTGTGGAC